ATCAACTGCATTAAACCTGGGGGTAGGCCACTTCGTGGTTTCGCCTTCTGGCATACCGAGCAGCTACGTGCGTAAGTTATGGCATCCTACCTCATGCCTGGCCACGTTGCAATTCGGGCCAAAGTTTCGCAAGTCGTGCTCCCATTGCTGTGAGCTGCCGGCTCTGAACCATGCATATAAGTTATGAATGACTTAACGGAATGTATGAGGTATTACAGTTCGGAAAAGCGGGCCGCAGGACCCATCGTCCGCCTGGTGAATGTACCGCAGCAGGATGCCCTCGCTGCTCAGCAAGTATATGTATCCAAATTTCTGTGACTCCTGGAGTCGACTGCGCTTACGTCTGTGCAACCGATGTGTTACCTTCAGACAAAGTTCATTGGGCGGCTGGGCCACCCATAGCTCCTATCTGCTCACAAGGATTCCCCACTGCGAATCTGGTGTGATGAGTGCCGCATTGGCCAGCGTCACCAAGTCAGAAATTACCTGCATTTCATGCCCAAGAAGGGGAGCACGGGACTTCGTACCTTCGTACCCCGAAAAAACCAGAGCGCTAAGCGAGTGCCGTAGGTAGTCCTTAGGGGTGGGGTCCTAGCAGCGGGGTTCTAGCGGGCGCGGGGCTTGGGCGCGTCATCTGCTGGCGCCGTAACTGAAGAAGCATGGCCATGGCCATCTTTAGTTCAGCTAGACCCCCCCCCCCCCCCCTTTGAAGATGCATTGGCCGGCACTGAGACTCCAGGCCTAGCGTCTGTTTTTTTGTCGATTGTTGCGTAATCTACATGTTCACCGAATGTCATATCGTCGTCATAACTCATGTTTTTGTCGGGGCCCTCTGATGACGACATCTGTAGTAGTTAGAGGTTCAGAATTCCATTCAATTTGCTTGGGTGAATAGGAAAAAATAAACACTTCGCAAACGCGGGCAATCTTAGAAACACACAAATGACAATGTAAAAATTAAAAAGGAACCCAGTTTGCGGCTATCCTCACAGACGAGCAGCATTGCGCGTCTGGACGACAGTATGGGAATTCCCACGCTGCTAACCGTCTCGGTGACTGACACGACGAACTGGTTCAACAACACGTAGTCATTTCTTCACTGTCATCGCCAGCGCCGCGATCCCATGAACCTCTGCGCATCCACGGCGACGGCCTTTAATAAGCGATGGAGCGCCGCTCGCGTGGCCAAATATACTTGAGCCCTCGTGGCGGAAATGACTGTAGGCGATTTGGCGCGCGGGACACCTTGCCCAACGCTTTATATCCCCAGGTTGCCCGTAAATGCTTATTTGTTTTCATCTTATTTAGACACAACATTACTATTTTATATTCCACTATATACATACTCGCTTGTGAATTGGATGCTGCCTATTGTTTATATTGTTTGCGTTTCGCATACCTGCGTTTTTGCGTGTGCTTCGATTCCTGTTAATATTTTTTTCTCGTTTTTCAAAATGTGTTTGTAATTATCACTCCTGTTGAAGTTCTTAACTTCTCACCAATAGTATGCCAAAAAGATAAAAGGCCGACATCAGCATGCAAAGATACCATTAAATCAGATAATGAGAGTTATCGAACTTGCTAGACTGAGCTTAGCAAAAATCCCTTGGCGTGTTTTCGTAGACGTAACATCGCCTGGTTCATTTGGGGAGAGAGTGGAGGGAACGCCTGAGGTAAAGGTGAACACGCCTCAGTGAAGCAGGCGCTAGCCATTACTCGACTTTCCGATTATGTTACGCTTTTCGCTTAACCTAATCTGGAAGCCGTCAAGATATTAGACCGTGATTCACTGGGGCACCTTTACCAAAGTCTCGGGCCCCCTTCTCATTCTTGTCCATTAAAGGACAGCGTACAACCTCGATTTTCTGCTGGGAAGAAAATCCTTTTAGCACTCCCCTCCCCTAAGCTGCAAGAGGGACCAAGTTGTGGAAAGGTAGAAAGATGAGAGGATACAGGAAAGGAGGAGGCGGGCAGAAGTGAAAAGCGTGAAGTGCACGTTGGCGTTTAATCCAGGTGACGGCCATTAAACACGCGCCAATCAGAGTGAGAGTCTGATGACTGTACTCACAAGCTTTTTCGAATTCGCACCAGGGGGAAGTTAGATCCGACACCTTACAGTACGCCCGTTTACCCTTGCCACAGTCAGCAGTCAGATATATCACCTAACGTTTTTCCCTCACTAATATACGGAGCATGATTAACTGGTGTGACGAATCATGTTCCTTGAATAATACCGTTTCAGTGCGAACGTCGTTGTGTTAACCGAGATATGACTCTGGGAAAAAAGAAAAGACATAAATCTGTTCGTTTGAACAAAATAATTTGATACACTTTGACAAACAGGGGTCTGCCGATGGGCGTTGGCTTATTAATATAGTCATCGGTGTTGCCGACTGTCGCTCGTAACTTGAGAATGTTTACCCTTCAACACCGAATAATGTTGCTAAAATGCTGCTATCGAACACGTTCGCGTGTTGTTGCCTTCGCAGGTAAACGGAATTATGCGTCTCATACAATTCTTAGACATTTTTCTACTGCACCGCAGCGGCTTTCGGGTGTCTTCGGCTACCGCATTAGCTGTTAGGGATTGACTTTGCTTTGATTTTGTCGCTTCACCGATCAGCGTGTGAATGTTTTGGCCGTGGTTTATTTAAGTTGCTCCAGTTAGTTTATACACCTACAATAATAACGGCTAATATCTGAAACTCTTCAGTTCTAATTCTAACAGTTCTGCTTAGTCTAATAAGTAAAAAAAAAAAAAAACACCTAAATTTCTTTCTATTCACTTATTGCTACACTTGTCATTGACCGTTTTCTTCAGTTATTCTCGAAATTTAAAAAAGTCCTATTTTACTATTACAACTGACCACTTACACTAACTGAACCTAAAATTAATGGGGTGGTTGGGAGGCACAAAAGTGGTGACATCTTTTCTTGAGGGTGGGTCAACTTAGTTAAAAAATTAGATTGATATTAGGGTTGTGCTCGACTAGTTTTCCCTTATACTAAACATTCATATGTACCGATCGATTCCCATAAATTCTTATTTAAGGCATTCTGTATTATTTTACATGCGGCACAGGCCTTATTTGCAATTAACTTAACTGGTATATTTGCCCTATTACGTTTAGCGATAATTCCAGGCGGTTAATTATTATTTTGTATTTATTTGACTATTTATATGTCTGCTGATTTTGAAGTCAGTCTTATTTGGTAAAATGTAGTTATATTCCTTTTGTGTCTTAATTAGGAGATAATGGGATGAAGTGACTATTTATTGAACTGATTTAATTTCAATAAGTAGTATTCACTATTAGTTAATACATGTATTATTTCGCCATTTCCGAACTCGGTCGGTTTCAGGTGCGCAGTAATGACAATTATTTATTCTTCTGGAATATTTGTGCACCAATCAACAAACTGACAGATAATGTTTTCTATGAATCATTGGTCACTTTTATTTTATCAAAATCTTTATGGACGAAATGGGCTCCACTGAAATATGACTGGGTATTAGCAATGACTTTTTTGTATTGGGCACAGAAGCTTCTAATAATGATAATGAATATTAGTTTTAATTCAGAAATTCTGGGGACTGAAATTGGTCCAAATCATTATTACTCATATTAGTAACTATCTGGAGTCAGCTATCTTTGAAGCAGGCTGTCTTTCGGAGGCCATTGCCGCTAATATTGGACTTTTATGCTGTTTGTGTTTCATAAATGTGATCGGCTTGAAATAAGTAATATGGGCGCTTGACATCGATTCTTGTCCAAATAAGCTGAGAATGCCCGGGTCTTAGCGACTTTCGCTATTCTGTGGCATTTAAGTTTTAGGGTCGGGATTGACTAAGAGGGGTTGTATTGACCATAGGCATCCATACCTTTTTTTCAAATCTGTATACTGGGCTATCCGTGACTCTTATAGGCTAATTCCACGATTTGGGGGTTAGAAATTTTTTCGACTTCAACGGCTAATATTGGCAAATGGCTGTTATGCTTGCCTTGGTTGGCAGGAGATGGCTAGAAATGACTAACTGATCAATATTAACATTTTTCACAATAAGATATGTTGGCCAATGCAAATAGAACTGGCATGATGTGGCTAATATTGGACATTGGCATCTATTTATGGCATGATTTGCTAAAACTGCTACAAACGGCTAGCTATTTGTGCTTATTATTGGCAACGTAATTTAATTTCTATGCTCACCGGTGACAATCGCTTCGAGCGGCTATTGCTGGCTATTAGCACTTAATAACAAACTTGGCCTAAATCACTTAGTAATCCCTATTAGTGACTATTATTATAATACCGTGATGTTCATGTTGTTTTAGATTGGAATGGCTTCAGATGTCTATTAGAGGATAAAACAGTTTTTACCGAAACTCCATAATCCCAGAAATCTGTTCGTCCGTCCTTCCGAGCATTTTTAGCAACATTTAGAAGGAAAATCAGCGTAATTTGACCCGACGTCATGTCTATATTTGAATTCAGTTTCCCCATTTTATTAAGGGAGGAAGACGACACGTGGCCCTATATATCAATAAAACTAGATAGGTTTGTTTCCCTGCTGTTGAATACGTATTAGTTCCCCGGAAGACAATATGTTAATTTATGTTTCTAAACAACACACACGCACACACACACTCACACTCACACTCACACACACACACACGCACACGCGCACACACACACACACGCACACACGCACGCACACACACGAACGCGCGCACGTACGCACGCACACACACACGCACACACACACACTTTGTTACCAGAAATATAAAATTAGTTTGCATGTATTTTGTGATCCCGCATGTTAAATTATTTTTTCTCTATTGTTCTTGCGGACAGAAATATCATGCACCTCTGCAGCAGAAACAAATCAGTGATAACATAACATTAGTTCAAGTTATCTGATAAGAAATCTGGTTGGATATTCTTATCTTTGCGTGCACTTCAGTCATTAAAAATATTTTTTCTGCCTGTGGACACAGGGACCTCTCCAAACTCAGCTACTTCCACAATCCCGGAAAAGAGCCGCTTCTGACGTGGACAGCGGGGGATGTGATTGACAGAGCGGCGGATGTTTTCGGGGACACCACAGGCATCGTGTACCCGCATCAGAACATCAGCAAGACGTACACAGAATACAAAAAAGACGTAAGTGTATATTTCAAATATATCTTTATCTTGAGACACATTTCTGGGCCCTTCAATATTTAGCACGGAAGGCTTGACGGAGAGACCAAATATCCCTAATTTTATTAGTAACAATGACAATCATCATGCAATATAAACCGTCACCTGATACCATGACATCGCATACACAGTGGAGTCAAGTGAGTCTGTGAAGTTAGGGAACATTATGACATGGCATCGCGACGGTACCTCACCTAACCTTACGTGGCACCATGACATTAGGTTACACCATATATAGACATTGTGATATCGCGTTACGTTGTTCCATAACGTAACCTTACATAAGGACGCCGTGTGACAGTTACTGCACCTGACCTGACGTTTCGTCACGATGCCATGTACAGTAATGTCGCGTGACCAAGTGCGTTCGTGCTGTGACGCCACGTTGCACTTTGAGGTGACGTGACACTCTGACATCACCATGAAGTCAGGTCACACCATGGTGTCATAGAGGACTCATATATGCTTCATTTAGATCGTTTTTGGTATATACCAAAGAGGGAGGCATTTTTTTTATAATATCGACCGACTCAGAATAAGTAAAAATTGCCTAGCTTGAGAGCCTAGAAAAAGAAAATATCTGAGAGTTCATTTCTTCTGACATTTAGAATAGAATTATCACATTTTCATTTAATAAATCTTTATTCAACGTGCATCAGGTGCATATGTTAGGGACAAGCCGAGTGGTGGGCATCCTTAGTTTGGGATACCCTGGCTGCGACCGGCTATCCGGGCCCTCCTCACCAAGTCTTGCTGGATCCCAGGGTCCGGGTTGATCAGGCATGCCATTCACTGCTCGTAGGGTGGGGTTGGATGGGAAGTGAGATCCGGGGTTTGTTGTCATTTCCATACCTGGTGGTACAGAGTGCCCGGAAAAGGGCAGAAATTGCGGGTGGCAGGGTATTGAGCGGGGCAGACGGTGTGAGGATGGGTGCAGTGGGGATATGTGTTGGTCTGCAGTCTTCGAAACGTGGTGGATTCATTTCTTGATAGTCTTGGGTGCAGTGCCGGTTATTTTCTTAGGTCGTGACGGTAGTCGTCCAGTACGTCGGCATACCTGGTGAGCAGGTCGGTCGTGGGTGCAGCAAGGAAGGTTGTTCCCTCTCGGGAACAACCTTCCTTTCTCCAGTCATGCCGCTGCCCGCCCGTTGTGTATGCGGGCGGGCAGCGGCATGTGTCGCCTCATTTCATTCGAGGTATTCGTGTCCGGGTACCAGGACGAGGTATACTTCGGTGAGCCGGGGGATGCTCTTGAGAATGCGAAGCTCTGTTTTGGAGATGCGTCCCCGTAGGTAATGGCGGCAAGCTGCCTTGGAGTCTGTGATCACTGTGATGGTATCGTCGCCTCTCGTGGCGGCTAGGACAACGGCAATTTGCTCGGCGGCTTATGTACCCGTAGATGTTGTGCGGACTATGAAGGCGGCTATATCTTGCCCTACTGCATGGATTGCACGTACGGCATTGCTGGCTGATGCGCATACGGGGACGCGTCCGTGTATATTACAGTTGGACTATCGCCGTATTGGGAACTCATGGTCCGTGCTCTAGCGGATTATCACATTTGATCCTATTATTACAAGATGACACTGGCCAAGTCTGGCGAATTTCAGAGGACACACTTCTATTCTCTGGGATCCGCCTGAGCCCTAACACATAGGCTCGAGGTTATTAAAAATCGGAGACTGTGGTTTCACCGAAACAACTATACTGAGTTTTACAGAAATTCTAAAAAAATATAATGTTTCTCATTTAAGCATTTGGTAAAGTGTTCAAAAGGGTGCTTACATCTCAAAGGTTGTATCATTTGTTGTCTAAAACGATGGGCAAGTTGCAGTCATATCCACAAAAAATAATTTGTACGGCGCACGCGCTTATTTTTACCTTTTGCTTTTTTCTCTCCCTCTTTTCACCTCCCTACTTCAATTTATTTGTGACGTAATCGATTATGAACTTAGAAGCTTCGCAAGCGACAATTTAATTATACGTAATAAAAACATACGTCAAGCATGTTTTTAACGCAATTGCGAAAGCACTACTGCCCGCGATATTGAAATACTGAAGATCGGAGTTGGAAGTGATGTCGCCTCCTGGCTTTTTATCCTCCCTCGGAAAACATGGCGGCGTTTGGCACATGTGACACTAAGGACGACAGGGAGTCAGGGAATCGGACAAGGTTCTGTTTTCGGTGCCGAAGGACCCTCTCAGACTTCAAAAACAAAATCTTGAAACGGTCAAAACGATCTGTGCACCATAGTTTCGCACGTGACTCTGTCGGGGCAGCCTTTCACGGTGACACTGCGCGACGTGGCCCCTAACGTCGCTCACAAAATTCCACTGCGCGTTCTCTTCAACCTCACACCGTTTCAAAGAATTAGAGATCGCTGAAAGGGTCCTAAAGGAGCTTCAAGCTCGAAAGTGAGGTGTCGCCTGCTCACAGCAATAGGCGGCACGCACGGAGAAGCAATGTTGATCGCTGAACGCGGGCGAACACGATACTTTCGGTTGGGACGCTTCGGAGGCGGGAGAGGAACTGGAGTTACAGGACAACTCAATCTTTGACGTCACTGCACCGGGGCGGACCGCGTGGTAACTTCAAATTCGGCTTTTGGAAAAATTTTTTTACTGCACAAATATTAAATTTTCAAGCCTCGAATATTAAAGGCATCGTTTTTAATCGTTTCGCAAAATACAAAAAAATTTGATTTGGACCTGTCAGTATTTCTTTAATGTTTCACACTATGCACCAAGGACTGCATATATTGAAGCAAGTCTGTTCATCCTGGAACCCCAACAGGTGTATTCGAGGTTTCACTATTCTGAAAGTGTGCAAAATTTGGTATCATGCTCACCACTTTTTTTTCAAAGATACTAGGAGTACAGTTCACTTTCATAGGAACCAGATCCTGTTAGCGAAGATATTTCGGTTACTCCGTTAGGATGAAATTTTGCTTTCTAAGTTAAAAACAAAGCATAGTTTCATGTATTTTTTACGCACTAAAAAAAAAACTCTTGATGTATGCGATGTTTAATGTACGTCTCTCCTAACACTACAGAAGTAATATGTGTAATTAAATGAAAATAAGTAGATATAAGCACAGTCTACTTGATTTAAATCCCGCACGTCACGACTTTTCACGAACGCTTAACAGCAGTCATGAGACACGCGGCTTAATCATAGTTTTCGTTTGTGGAAAGGAACCACCCGAAATATTTTGACAGTACATCTAGCTGATGGTCTGTCGTATTTTTCAGACATTGATGGTTGAACTGTCTGATGACTTGTCGTATGTTGGGACATCTGATGGCGTAAAAGTGTGTTTGTCTGTTGGTCTAATGGTGGCTATAAATATATAATCACACATACGTTCAGGCGCAAAAAAAAAAAGATTGCAGTCCAAACAAATATGAACTTTATTTTGTGCGGCACATTTCTCGCTGCAATTTGTTTGCCATCATAAATTTTAAGAACTGTATTCAGAAACCTGCGCTGTAATAAGACGTTGCATTTCAATGGCAGGCACAAAGTAATCGTGTTCAATCGCTCTCAGAAGTTTATTGGACCACTATAATTACATGCAGATTATTCATGAGAGATTTATAAAAGGAAAACTTCTCTGTGATAAAAATAGAACAACAACTACTAACTACAATTACACCATGCTCACACCGAGCGACACTTTTAAATGAAGCACAAATGACCTTCAATAGTGAGAGAGAAGCCGGCCGAGTCAATAAAGACGACCGTTTTATTGTCTATTACAAGCATGCTTGCAGAAGGCTTAGAAGAAAAACAACACTATAGATTTGATGCAATCCATCATAGATGGATGAGCCGACACGGGCAGTAAAAAACAATGCAATCACAAAGAAGAGAATGCAGGTCGGTCATATTCAACGGAGATCTTGCTGTCGCCTATTAGGAGTACTACGTCGAAGTTTGCCCACTAATCATGGCAAAATAATTTCATGGACTCCGACGAAGAAATCGGTAATCACAAGAAAAGCGTTTATTGTTCCTTGTTATTTGGTGATTTGGTGCAGTAAACGTTCATTCGAGGAGAGGGCCTTGTACAGCGCGAAATATTTTATATCGAGCACCTATTTTAAGAGCAACATTTTATAATCGTAAGGGCAGCTGGCTCTTGAAGTTTAAATAGGTGAGCATGACCGTATTCCGTTTACGACGAAAAAGAAGGGCCGAGACTTGAGCGCCCGAAAGTTAGAGAACAGTGATAATGGCATATTGGAAAACGGAACTACGTCACCCTCTACGGCAGTGGTTCTCAAATGGGGGTACGCGAAGCCACTTCTGGAGTCCGCAAAACCCTCAACAAAAATTTTTTTTTTTAGTTTGCACGTTTTTTTAGTTTAGTCCGGCCGTGACTGATTTGCAACCTGCTTCCGGAACTACGACAGCAGGTTGCTGCTACTTATACCAATAAAAGGCACCTGTTTCATGCTCCAAATGTGTTAAGTTACTAACGTCCCCCCCCCCCCCCCCCCCCCGTTGGAAGGGGTCCCACGTCACTCCCAGCGGTCCGTAAGGGGTCCCCGACATATCCATAGATGAGAACCACTGGTCTGCGATATATCATAGCTCGGCAGAACACGAAGACATGCTACGGCCTCAGTGAGACTGTCAGCGCATGAGATCGAGTTACGTGACAAATTTACGTTAAAGCGATTTTGTCCCGGGGAGAGTTGTCACATGTTTCGCTTCATCCCTCCGGATGGCTGAAGTGGCCGTCGCGCTTTCACACAGCCACAAGAGCCAATCACAAAAAGGCAGAAAGGCCTAACATCTTTTTCTTTTTTTTTTGTGGCTAAAAGTTCAAGAAATGGCGGTTTTCATTTTGTTTTAAACTTCAGTTTCGAGTGTTCCAGGAAACCGGAATATTTCGGCAGCTTAGGCGATTCACAAACAACTCAGCTGACGCAAGGAAAAAATGAAGGACGTTTACAACACCCAGTAACGCCGAATTAGAGCGCAGCCTTCGAGGAAGAGGAGGGAAGGGTACTGAGAGGATGATAAATACCTCTCCTCCTCATCCTTCCCGCTACTCCTCCTCTCTGCCCCTCTTTTTCCTCTTGCTCCTCCTCACTTCGTCCCCTCATCGTTCAAGCTCCTCTCCTCCTCTCATCCTCCTCCTTCCTCCCCCTCCCTCATCTCTTCTTCCTCATCCCTCCTCCTCCCCTCTTACCCTTCTCTTCCCCCTTCTCCCCCTCCTTTTCCCCTCCCATCCCCGTCCCCCCTCCTACTCCCCCTCCCCTGCTCCTCCAGTCCCCCCTCCTCCTCCCCTACCCCTGGTCCTCCTCCCTCCTCCTCCTCCCCGCGAGCTGCATTATGAGAAATCCCCACAATGTACCGCGCGGGACCCTCGTGACGTCACTCATCACATCACGTTTGACGTCACGAGGGTCCTGCGGGGTGCATTATGGGACATCTTCCATAATGCACCGCGCGGTTATGCCGGCGCCGCTTAAGCCGGAAAAAGGCGCTAAGGAGCTACAGAGCTGTGCTCTGAAAAGGCGGCGGCTATGGTATGGCAGGATGGCGTCGGCGCGACCTATCCGCATCTCGCAAATATTTACTGGATGTGAATGGTATTGGCACGATCTTCTCGATCTGACGGCAGTATCGGAACTCACATAAACGTTCACGGTATTATTCACACATTTTCTCTTTGTGTGTTCCGAAGTTTATGACGTACAGTCACGGTCCAACTAAATGCAAACAGCGGATCGCATGCCTCCCTGAGCATGCAGAAGCTACTGGAGGAACTTCCTGATAATTCTCCAGTGTGACATTATATTCACTCTTGATTACACGTTGCAAGATACTCGCCGTTTAGATGGTATGCACACCTTTAATTGCTCCTCTTTATAATGAAAGGGCTGCCAGTTATAGGGGAAAACAACAACATTCGGAATTTAGCATTGTCATACATGGGGCAAAGTGATCTTACTGGTCGTTTTTTATGGCAACATATTCAGGCATTGATAGATCACGAGGCACAGTGCGATTGGATTATTAAAGAATGATGCCCCCTGTAAACGGAATGGGAACGTTTTTAATCAAATGACTAAGCAGCACGTGACAACAAAATATGCAGCACGTGTGCTTGCGGCGTCAAAATATCCTATGAATAAGCTACATCATTCTCTAAGCCGACCACCCAGGAGTACAACATGAAAGCAGCGCTGTTGGCTATGAATCATAAAAGAATTGTTTTGCGAATAATTAAAAAAGCAAAAAAAAAACTTAACCGCGCTTCTTTTTTTTAAATTATTGGCATCATCGGAAGCTATGAAGCAGCTGAGTTGTCATTTGGTCGCCGGTCCGTGTTTCTTTCTTCTTAACACCATGACTGTAAAAATGCGTGTGTTTCAGTTTGTTCAGTGGAACCAGTGATTCCTAAAATTAGACATTGATGAATTGTCCAGGTTGTTTTAGGCATGTATTTTTTCGTAATTGTTTATGCCATTTGTATGTTCTGCCCAATCTCCTAACCCTACAAAATCTCCACTAGAACCGAATAAAAAAAAAATAATGTTGACATCCCGAGCGACGATAAAAACTGTTTTAAAACAGTGCCGCATTTCCTTTCCTTTAGGTAGATCAACTAGCTGCAAGCCTGGTGTCGCTCAAACTTCCGGTGGGCTCCAGGGTTGCCATACTTGCTCCGAGACTTTACGAAGGAGCACAGCTCCTTTATGCGGCCTCCAAGGCGGGACTTGTTATGGTAAATGCGAATCAGTTACTTGGCCGCACATGCTGAGCGCACAGACTTCGCGCGGAGCATTTTATAGATCCTGGCTTACATCTGTTCTGTTCTACAGGTTGGCATTCACACATTCTGCACGCTTTCTGAACTTGAATTTTGCTTGAATAAGGTAAGTCATCTGCAGCTCGAAGACGATTTTGTATACTTATTATATTTATTTACAATATTTCATATCCCATTTCGGTTTTAAAGGCTGGTACAACATGAACAAAGTGCGTGTAGTCTTGACTACACGCACTTGATAGATGTTATGGGCTAATCGATGTCGACAGGTGCACTTCTATGTTGATACAAAATAGATTTAGGGTAGTGGAATATGAGGTGTTTCGCGACAAAAGATTCCATTCGTTAACGGGGCGGGGGAAGAAAGCTAATTTAAAGGAAACTATTTTGGAATGGAAGCTCTTCAACACATCTACCGAGTTTATACCTTGGTAATCATTTGCTATACTTCGTTTCACCTTAAGTGCAGATGTAGCTGACGCTACAAGCGGATGGGACCGATCAGACAGCCTCAAAAGTGCATCATCATGGTTTTCGTCATGTTTCTGAGCGTTTTATATTATCAATAAACCAATCAGAAACAGTCAAGGCCTAGAGAGTTGCTCTCTTTACGCGCTTGATTGATCTCATTGCCTCGTAGTATCGACTGCATGTAATTTTAAGCTGAAACGAAGTATTGTAAGTATTAAGTAAGTTTCCTGGGGAATGCTGAAGTGTTTGGTGAACTCATATCAAACTTGAGCCTTGCTATTTCTGTCCTTTCTGCAGAGACAAAAGTTCCGACTGTCTGCAGAGTTGAGCGGGGTAGTCATGCCTTCTATATTTGTAACACAAACAGCTAGGTGGAATTTTTTTTTATTATTTCGAACCTTTTAATACCTGATACAGTATGGGAAAACCATGCGACTTTAACTTATTCGAAGATATGATGGGTGTTATTATTATCGTTGTTTACATTTATAATCTTATTGAATTATAGTTAATTTTACTTGATTCATACTTGAGGATACTTTTATTTCATGGAGTTTATTCAATCTTGTAGAAAATATAATTTGATGTGCAGGGCGCAGTGAAGGTTCTTACTTATATGCAAGCCAATATATTTATACACTTTCATTGTATTAAGTGGGATCATATTTATTTGGTAAGATAATGATTGGGCTTTTTATTCGTTAGCTATAGTCATGAAAAACTTGATTTATCTTACATACCATCTGTCAATCATTACACTGATTGCCGAATCAATGTCGTGCATTACTGAAAAGGATTTGAACTTCTTGAATAATCATTTACGAATAAAATAGGAAATAGTACGCTAAGAGGTTAATTTTACGTACACTTTTTGGACTACGTCATTCATGTTCATAAAAACCAAGTAGGTGGCAGTACTGATCTCTGTGGGACGTCAAACGAAAAATTGCCCATGATGAATGATCAAAATCAAAATCAAAATCAGTTTATTTCGTTAGCGCTTTAACACACATTCGACAAGTGGGCCTGAAAAAAAAAAGCTGAAAGTTTGCAGCTTCACGGGTTCCTACCCTCTTAGACACAGGGCAAAGCGGCAATGATACGAAAACTCAAAAGAAAAACATAATAAAACATGTTTTATTTACCATGTCACAGGAAATAGGTTGAATTTCAACACAATGACTTAAATACATATAACAAAAATAAAACAAGCATTTTCCCGAATGACGTACAATTATGATAATACAATGTTTTCAAGTTTGCCGAGGTTTAAATAATTCTTATAAGTTATCTTGTGGCACGTTGGCACGTCGCAGTTAATGTATTAGAGTACATGTTAGATATGTCAAGTATCTTATGCTTTATAAATAAGCGAACGGAACTACGATGGCGTGGAACAGTTTCAGTTATCATTATAGTTTTTGTTTGCATTAACCTCAACCTGTCGAAGTTACTTTTTGCTGTTGTACCCAGACCAGGTGGCATCAACAACAAATTGAATGAAAAAGGAATTGATATATTATTTTTGATAGTTCCAGAAAATACTTGCCTATATTTGTTCATTATTTCAACTTCTATACATTTTTTTATGTGTGTAAGAAACATGTAGATTCCACAGCATGTGTTCGGAGAACACAACAACGACGGCCTTGACGCTGTTTACATATTCTCCGACATTTGTACCAAAATACAAATCATTGGGCAATGCGATCCGTGATCCTGGACATTTAAATATAACTACTTACGTTTTGAACGTGTGTATAGCTCGACACCTAATGGCAACACAGTCATCTAAAAACAACGTTTTCTTTGGAAGTGGGTACGCTTTCACTACAGTCAGAAACAATCCATATGCTGTTATCTTCCGCGTACATACTCATTTCGGATGAGTTTCAATGCGTTCAATATTGTTGACGTAAATAATCAATAACAAGGCATCTAATATGATTTGCTAAGGATTCCCAGAGTAAATACGCTGCATGGTTGATGAGGAGTTTCCAACCTGAACGTTCTGTTGGCGATGTTGTAGATGGGGCGGAAGAATTGATAATGGAATAAAGTCTTCCATAGAATCTTAACTGGTGAAGATGTGTCGTGTGGTTTATTCGATCGAACGCTTTGTTCAAATAAATGATTGTCCTCAAGGTTAAAATTTTATTATTCAAAAGGTCTAATATGATCTGTTTCTGAACTAGTAAAACTGTCCTGTGGGTTTGTGTCTCCCAGCACCGAACTGCCATTCCGTAAACTAGGAGTATTACATTAAAAAGTCGAGAACGCATGATTTTCAGGGGGCATCGAAAAAAAGGAAGGATCGAAATCGGATAATAGTTACTCCCATCATTACTATCCCCGCCTGTTTAAATAACTGAAATTTTAGCAATTTTAAGAAATATTGGGGAATAGACTGGAGACGATAATATAACGTTATACGGATGACTTAGGCATGGAAGCATTAAATGCGAGACAAATTTCACACGTTCGATTTAGAAATCCTCAGAGTCATGACAACGGCTATTTTTCATATTCATAAATGGGGAGAATACTGCGACTATATAAGATTGAAAAACATATTTTCATTAGAGGTGGTAAAATAGTCCAATGGCTGTACTGTAATAAGTACTGTTCCTCGTACTTACAAAAAAGTAATTGAATTAAATCACAAGTTCGGCACGAGATACGTAACTAATATTAACGGTTATGCTTTTCATTGCGAACTAAAATGGGTTCCGCCTTAGGGAGTTCAAACGCTTTGGAGATGCATAAAACAAGATGCATCAAATATGGCAGCAAAACAACGTTGTTTCGTTCGTCGTGACTACGCATTTACAAAATTTATAATTTTTCTTAATTCACGATTTTTTTTCGCTTTTTAATAAAAGAAATATAAAGAAACGTTTCGAATCAAAAAAAAAAAAAACACAAAGAAAGTTATTTTTTTTTATTCTGTTTCAAAAGTTTCCTAGAGATTCAATGCTTTTGAGACTTTTTGTTTGCATTAATGGTTCTGTATCGAAACGCTGAGCAGTAGGCACCTTTCAGCTCGTTGAAGAAAAGGTCATAGCACTCGTTATCATCGGTAGACCGTAGCACGTGACTCCAATCAATAAAAGTAGTATTTTATTTCAAAGTTACCAGTGTTTAAAAACTTACGCCTCGTAATATTAAAGACCGGAATGATCTTGTTTGTGCGGGAACTAAACGACCAACAAACACGTTTTCTTCAAAGCACAACGAAAGTTCGGGGAATTAGAGAACCTCTTTGTTTGGCTCTTCAAACGTAAACCTGAACCCCCTCCACAGTTCTCAAAAGTATGTTTGTCAACCTTAATAGCGCCCTCAAGCACAACCAAAAAGTCATCCATATAGCGAAACACTTTTTGGACGGTGTACGCTGCAAGAGTTCTTGTGACACTCCTATAAACTCGGGCAACTTAGATGTCACTAATTATTGAGGCCACACAGCACCCAATGCAAACTTCCATTTCTTGGAGAACTATTTCCTTGTCCCATCAAACTACAAGCGAGCTGATGTAAAAACTTAAAAGCTGTAGAAAGCTTTACAGGGTAACACCGCTAGAATTTTTTTAACGTGAGTTCTCCGTTGCACTCTATAAACGACTTGCCTGACGAGGAAAACTGATCACGTGGCAGTATATGAAAAAGGTCCTCTACATCTACATTAAATGCCGATAAATTTCCGAACTTATAACATTCACAGAAATCCGCCACTGCCTCGGAATTAGAAATTCGGAAAGGTTCTCCAATGTCCAACGGCGACAACTGTTTCTGCAAGAATTGAAACAATTGGCGCTGCCAAATATCTCTTTCAGTTAAACTAGCCCTAAACAGGCATGAGTCTTTATGCGTCTGAACACTGAAAAATACTCTCAGGTGCCGCCCTTCCTATTTTTTCATGCACTCCCCCAACATTCTCCTGGCCAGGTTCTTGCACAATTCCATTCCCCGAATCGTTGAATCTTGTGGAAGAACAGAGTTTGATGAAATATTTTAGGCGAATACTTAACGTGACAAGGACTGTACCAGCAAAATGAATTCACAAATCTGGGACACGTGCCAACGTCAGCATTCACAAAAGTATCGCAGACACGTCTTCCAAAGAAGCCGTCTCCCTTGGTAATCCACAGGAGCTGTGGATTACCAAGGGAGACGGCTTCTCTGGAAGCCGTGTCTGCGATACTTTCGTTGCACTGGAGCGCGCCGTCAGCAAGAGACATGAGCCACAGACACTCAACACAGTGGTCTCGACGGACGCTGGAGCTTGTCCTCAAACACATCTTCTACAGTGAAACTTCCTCGCTCGCAAGCGAGGGAGCTTCTTCGCCTCCGAGTTATACTCCCTTTCACCTTAAGATGGACCGCGACGGATGCTAAGACCCACCACAGCCAATCCAAAGCCCAGAGGGTGACACCGTGCCCTGTGGGTCATCCGGAGCAAGGCGCGAAGTGTGAAGTCACGTGTCACTCCCGGAGTAGTGGATTGGCTAAGGCGGGTCTAGGGCGCGTTGCTTTACGTCTGTGGGTGAAAGAGAAGATAAGAGTTTATCTCTTTCCCATTCCGCGATTTATCTCCTTTCCCTCTTTGATCTTGGTTTTTTGGGACTTCGCAAACCTTTCCAAGCACCACAAAGGGCCTCGCCCAAGGGCAGGTGGTTAGCGTCGCCTTGGAGCGCCCTCCCGTAAAGAAGCAGCGTGAAAATGGCGTTCGTTTCGAAACAAGCGCTCTGAATAGCGTCACTTCTTTTTCCCACCCAGTACTGCAAAATATTATTATTCGAAACAAATCGCGAAAAGTAAACCACCCTTTAACACGCCCCATTTTCAGCGCAAACCGAGCCGTGAAATTCAAAATTATTCGGGAACATTGAAATGCGGTAATCTTTGAGACGCTCATTTAACTTGGCTAGCAGAATTGAGTAAACTAGTATGCATGCGAAATAAATCACTCGCAAGAAAACCGCCACATAAGCACGCCCCATTTTAGGCACAAACCCAGCCGTGAAATTTGAAATGTTTCGGAAACAATGACATCCGGGAAGCATTCACGCGCTCATCTAGCTTGGCTAGCAAAAGTATGGGCGCCAAGGAGTTTATTATTTAGCAACAAATTAGTTACTATAGTCTTCCAATTTACCCCGCCTTAACGATTTGTGATCATTCTCGGTGAGAGGTTCGCTAGGGGCGCTTCTGTTTTCCTCACTATGGGTAGTGCTCGTGCTACCCATGCGGGTATGTGTTAATTTTCATAGATCATAAAAGCTTGGCATTGCACGTGCTTGCAGCAGCAGAGGGTGTTGAAGTCTCCTCACTCCTGGCTGTGAAAATATTCCACCAGGCGGAGATACTCTAAATTTCACGCCGCGAATAACCTTCAATAATAACGACCACTTAACAAGCACTCACAAAGGTGCGGATTTTATTAATTGTTCCAGCGTTCGTTTACGTGAGCCGTTTCTCCTTTTAGGGACAAATTCTACATTATTATGCGCTCACAGGTTTGAGACCGTCTTGCGTTTTTCGAGTTTTGTTTGAAGAAAAGCTCTACAGATATAATTCGACCCGAGTAGATTGCACGATTCTCTCAACCCCAAAAACGATTACCATTTCTTTTTAATTTAGTGATTACAATAAAGCGTATTAGTGCAGCGAAAGTGCTTTTTTTTTTTTTGAGTGACTGACCTCAGTGGTACAAATTAACGTATGTCAATGTGCTTTCGAATTAAAATGAAAAATCGCGGGTATGTTGTGTTTCTGCTGAAAATGGCTTGCAGTGTGAACACAAAGCAGACGGCGGAGTCCGTGCAAGAGGGAGAGTAGACATGTGTCTCTACAAAGTGTGGTCGGATTGCACTTGTATGGTGACATTGGCTCACGCTATGCATGAAATCTGTGTACGCGCTACGTTGCCAAGAGTAGCGCAGCTTCCGGATGGTTCACAAAAAATATTTACGTGTTCTTGTAACAGTGCCGAGCTTCAGCACTCTGAAGCCACTCTATATCATAATTTCACCTTCTTGCGGACTAGCTGTGAGTCAAAGCTTTAGGGCCCCGTGCGCTTGCACATTCTGCGCGGCCATCAAAGTTTTGCACGCGCAGTCTTCACTTCTGAAAAGCTGCCGAAGGTTATGAAGCAGAAAACAGGGTGTCGAACTGCAAACGAACCGAACCCAAAACCGGAACCGAACCGTTATTTTTAGCCGAACCGGAACTGAACCAAACCGAACTCTTCGTCAACATCTTGGGACTGAACCGAAACTGAATCGGAAGAAAATATAACGGTAACCTATTCAAAACGGTTCACGGTCATTTTTTTTTATTCATTTTTTGTCATTATCAAAAAATGAATATTTGAGAATAAGAAATCGGAAGAGCTCTGTATTTCAATGTATTGATCCATCATCGTATGCAAAATTGGTATGAGGAGTTGTGGGTTTTCGTTGCTCTTTGTACTGGCACTATGTTTAATTAGGTGTCACCTGGTCACGTGGTTGCCATGCTGTCAAGTAAGGTCACGTCACGTGGCACCATGAATTCGCGTGACATCCTCAGTGACTCACTGCGTCAACTCCATTTAAATTAAGAACGTCACTAGATTAATTAGTGTTATTAACTCCGTGACGTCACATGACATGACATCGAGTTCGCTGGGGGCTGCATAACACATGGCGTACTCGATTTTCATGAGCTCGAGTCGAGTGCAAGGGTTAATTGCAATCAGCTCTGCCAGACATTTGGCTATTCGCGGATATTCATTAAAAGACCAGAATAGCCGAGCTCTAACAATGACGGGAGCTCAACTCATTGTCTATGCTTTCTCAACCCCAGTGCATGACTTTGATAAACACTGACGTACATAATTTGGTTCAGATCACGTGGCCCCTTTTTGTAACCGCGAGTTGAGGAGGGGATAGATGTTGCTTTCCTTAGCTTTTTCTGCGTCTGCTATCGCGCGGAGTGGAAAACTAATGGGTGATTTTGCAAGTTATCAACGTCAGGGTTTAGTCCTTGACGATATTCACTGAATGTACAAAAATTGTCGCGCAACCCATTTTACATGTACAAGTCATATTAAGCACAAAATCTTGTTTTCATTGTTGCTGCACTTCCTCAGAAGGTTGCCTCAGATAATAGAGGCATTGAAAGGACTTATTAACGCGATAGGCCTAGGATGTCTCATCGTTCAGTCGACCTTCAAAGTCCGTGAGCTAAAAGACACGTCGGCGACACGATGTGTGTATATTTAGAAAGACAAATCGAATGTAAGTGGACATACTACTACAATCTCAATTTCTAAATGATACCGTGTGGTGTCACGCTTCTGTTGTAAAATTTTTCTATCTAAGCAGCATATCTCTTTTAGTTGTCTTTCTACATACACAGGTACAATGATTGGAGTGAAATGCTGCAGTATATTTGATTTTTGGAGTGTAGTGTATATTCATTTTACGCTGTTTTTCCGCCAAAGTGTGTATGGGAACTAGGGCCACGTCAAGCAGCAGTAGCAGCTTTTTGCCCTCTTTTTCACCCTTTTTTTTGTTTCGTAATAATGAAAAAATAAAATAAAAGATTAATATTTTCACTAATAGCAGCAAAACTTCAATGTGGACGGTCAGGTCCAATTTGAGTAATCAGGCAACTTGGAACTAACAACTTTTGTGTGGTGATCCCGTTTCTGGTGTACGGTGTGGAAGGACTCAAACCCACCAACTGTAACTGCACTACCCTTCGTGGTAACCGTCATTCCCCGCATCTTTGAATACCGAGGAGGATAACGGTGTAAAGAACGACACAGCGGAGCGCACATGATATCATGATGACAAGAGTCTCGCTCGCGCTCGTGGGGCCAACAGTCAAAAAGAGAAAGAAACAGAAAAGTAACAATAGGCTTTTGTTGATCCTGACAGTGCTAGGTGATTGGGATTTCTAATATCACTTTTTATGTACTTGACCTCAAATCCTTTCGTGACAATATAGTCCGTGTTGGGATTAACCTCCACTGAGCGTCTAGCGCGCGCATTTACGGGCCGGAGTGATGCGTTGCCATTCTTGACCCATGCTACTTCCCCGCCATAGGCGAATAAAACTGCGGTACTAGCGAAACTGATGCTCCTTCGTGCGTTCGTTCGTTACTTGAAACAATCCGTGGATAACATTATAAACTAGCAGAACTTTTAAATATATTCTACGACTGCGCGCTTCTCATTAAATATTAAAACATAAGTTGTTATTGCGCCTGAAGGGGCGAAAGCTCGAACTACTCTTGGCATCGGGAAGAGGAGTTGTACTCCTTCTCCCGCATCCTGCTTCCGCGACTTAGATAAGTCGCAGATGACGCCACACAGTACTCTGTGGTTCAACCCATACTGAATTCCGAATTGCGTTAAGTGGGAGATTCATATTGTTTTCGTAAACTGCGACTTCAGCGGTGAAGCACACTGGCTCCTGCTCGCTGGATTCGGAAATAAGTATAGATTAAAGTTCGGGGCCCTGCAATTTTTCCACAAAATTTAGCGGGGAAATTGATATCACAAGAGCTATAAACCAATTAAGTTTTTCTCAATTAAATTTAGTGAGAAATTGCATGTCACGCGAGTGAGAAATTGCATGTCATACCGCATCTGTTTCCCGGCGACATTTAGCGGAGAAATCGACGTCACCTGACCTAAACACCAATTAAGTTTCCCGCCTACATGTGGCGGGGAAGTGGCGTCGCGTGACGCCAGCTGACATCACGTGACCTATGCACCTTGGGAAAATTCACGGCACGTGATCAGAAGGTCAACTCAGCCTTCACGCTAAATTTAGAGTGGAAAATTAACGTGTTTTGGCCACAACATCAGTTCTGTTTGCCAGACAAATTTAGCGAAGAATTAACGTCACGTCACATATACACCAATTCAGGGGGAATAGGAGGAGGTGGAGGGAAGAGAAAGAGGAGGGAAGGAGGGGAGGAGCGGCAGGAGAAAAGGAGGAGGAGGAGAGGCATACCATCCCCTCTGTACCCTCCCCTCTCTCTCCTCAAGAGCTGCGCTTTAATTTCGCATAACAGAGATCTGTAAACGCCTTTGATTGTTTGTTCTGTTCTCCTCCGAAGCTTACCACACGAAATTCATACAATTGGGGAGTTTTTTCTTCCTCCACTCCTGGTCTGCATAGTGATGTGTTTTTGTTTTCTTTCCTTTTGCGGCCAGCGAAACCTGCAACAACATCAATTTTCTCCTTTATTTTCTTTTGGCGTTGTTCTTGAAATCGAACACATTTCTACTGGCTGCCCTGCGATCCGCCGTGGAGTCGCTTCATTGGCCCTTCCGGCCGTCTGCGCGCCGCTGCGTCGTCGGGACCAAACCGTACTTTTTCGACCCGAAACGGATCGAGGAAACCATTAAAAAATATGTGTTCGTCTAACCGAAAATCAGGATGCTGTCAGGTTTGTACAGCCCTTTTGCCAACTACCTTTCCAGAATCCAATGACACTTCGAGCTTTTGCCGCTTGGTGTCGTCTTTATGTAAAAACAGGTTCTATTGCTTTCAGACAGAGTGTGCGGCTCTGTTCTTTGGGGAAAAATTTCTTAATAACAAGTACTACGAGATGTTGTTACAAATTGCACCGGAACTGGAGAAGTCATCGCCCAGGGAGCTGAACATCCAAAGGTGACAATTCAGTCGTAGCTGGCTGTGTCATATTTTTAAACCACGTGAGACTGGCTGGGATGTTTTTGATCACGTGGATGTTTTCGATCTGCCATAACCTAACCTGCGTCCTTCCAGGCTGCCGTTCCTGAAACACGTCTTCACCATCGGCAACGACCGGATGCCGTAAGTACCATAAAATGGCACATGTTAGTGTCAGAGCTATAAATGCTTTATAGGGTAACTTCCTCTGAATTGTTTCCGCTGTATAATGGGATTAATAAAATAACCTTTATTTTTCTTTCATCGCTATTCAGATAAAATCTCTGCATCTGAGTAGTTCACTCGCAATCAAATACTAAATGCTTCCTGCTATATAACCTCTTGCAAATATGTTTGCATTAATTTTTTTGTCTTCAGTGTCCTAACAAAAGATTGTCAAACTAACATGAACGGTGACCCATGCGTATAATTAAGGCACACATGACTCAGTGGCTGGTGTTACTCTAATTAGAATATGTCAGTTTGTAATGACAATCAAGTTAACGAGTGAGTAATGCATAACACATGAGAAGAATTTGAAATTTGAAGTGAATGTTTAATGAGGCAAACTTGTGCCCACAGTATTCACGTGAAAGGTACCAGAATCTTGCGTCGGCCACGCAAGAACGACTGACTTGAAGTAGCCTGCTATGTGCTATGGGTTGTATCGTACACGCGCTATGTTTAGAATAATTATTAGTCTCAACACGCAATTATTCACAATATGAGACTCGACCATTCCTGGAAAACATCGTTTGCTAAAATAAAGTAATGGGTCCGTGGAGTCTGAACTCCGTTCAGCAACGCCATGATCGCGGCAATATACAGAAATTGGAAGAATTCTAAATCCGGCAATGGCGGTTATTTAAGCTGTATTGAGCTGGGTGACTTACTGCGCAATGCAATTTTTACGTTAGTCTTAGTGTTGTCTAAAGTTTTAACGGAACTTATCGGGGGAATGAATTCTGCTGTATAGATACCAGTATTTAACATACGAATATTTGTATTACGTTCAATAGTTTGTGTTTTCTATCTAAAGGCGACTTGCGAAATATATATGTTAATGGTATTTTAGAAAATTTTTATTTAAAATATTGTAGTAAATAAATCCAAATATATTATCCATCCTTTCCGACATTTGAATGAAAATTCAGTGTTTGGAGGTCTACTCAGTTAGAGGATGATCTGACATTGGCCTGCCGGTGTTTCATATATTTCCTGCCCTGAAACCACGAGTGAAAAGACATCATTTCTATAGTGGCGACGCCGTCATGGTCGCAGCGTGTGAGTGGTTTGAGGTGTGAGACAAATTAGTCTTTTAATACACAATGCGGTTAAGTGCTGTGATTCCCACGGAGAGTGTGAGGAAATGACACAGGAACCGGTATTAAATTTTAAACACGTACTTTAGACGACAATCTATACAAAGAGACACACAATGTAAAATAAGAAATAGTATTTAAGAACAAAAACAAAACTCGAATCGCGACCCGAGAGAAATAGACCTCACGACGCCTTGTTCTTGAGCCTGACACTAACACTGCGGCAGATGGGAGACTTGCGAAGAGGAAACGACCCGTCCATTCATTGTTTCTAGACAAACGCGAAACGCCAGCGTTCGGCGTTTCCTTTGAACAGTGATTAGAGACAAACGCAGCGACCTTTACATCTACCCTGTAATAATTTTAACCAGAGCTCAGTGCTCCGACATCCCCACGCGATATCATGTACTTTTCTGTCTCTCCTTTTTATCTCGCCCAATTTCTATCTGCATAACAATAGAAGTCTGCAACCAGTTCCAGCAAATTCTGCAGAAACGCATGGGTGATTTCAGATAAGATCGACCAAAGGATGGCTAGTCGACATTTTCAAATCAACTGATGTTTTATATGTTATTGTCTAGTGTCTGGTATGAACGAATCCAAACTTAGTTTTGATTAGAAAAAATACTTGGGGACAGGAAAAATCGTAAGGCATGAGGTGGTGGACAGTTGCATTAACGCGCACTGATGGAGGGGGCCCGTTTGAGAGTGAATAACTAAAGCGATAACATTAGGAGAACACTAATACGTTTTAGGCGCAAACTATGGGTATAGCTTGCTTGTAATATAAAGTAATCATATTTATTTAAAATTTATTTATTTTTCTAAAAATTGACAAACATGCCTGCTCGAACGACAAATGGCAAACTTTGGAGGTCTGTATCTCATGAAATAATTTAATCATTATGATATAATTTGCAGATATTATTCTACTAATATATAGCTCATATTTAAAAAATGACTAAGGTATCTGTGTGATACAATAGTTAGGATATATTTAGTCAAACATGGAAAACAAATCAAACAAAGAAAAATTCCGATGCGAATAAAAAAAAAACACCACCCTCGATTTTTTTTTAAATTGAGGTAACCTGTTATACTCTATTTCGGCATTCATTTCCATTAAAAACATGTTGCATCATTTTATTGAGAAAGAAGATACAACTCCCCAAAGTAGGGTCCTTTTTCAAAGCCTACACTTAGCAGTGTTTTATACAAGAACTGACTCTGAGTTCCAGTTTCATGAAACCAACACACATCTTTTATATATTTTTATTCAGATGAGGCCAATGATAACTAAAGAAATCGTTCACACACTTAAATTAAGGAGAAACTACTGTGTACAAAGAGGTATCTTATTACGGACTAGTGATCCTAGAAAAGATCATGCAGCCATCGGCCACTAGGAACTTTGTTTACTTTATTCTCCTGCGACACTATATGCTATTCCCTCTTCCGCTCTACCTTCATCTCTCTCTTTCTCTCATATATATCCCTGATATATATCCAGAACAAAAACATGTTCAAGCATTCCCTTTCTGCGTGGTAGTGTTCTGTGGCTAGCAAAAATCATTTCCTCGCTAAGCTCACGATTATGGCAAAATAGTTGCCGGAAACCGCAGACGACACTCGTCGCTAGTTCTGGCAAAACGGCCGATACAATCTTTTTTTCGTATTTCCCCGCTCGCTGTCAAGGACAAGGGGGTTCGCTTCAACCAGCAAAACATGGCCGCCGACGCCTGTTTACTGAGCAGTCACGCCTGTCGCCATCTCACTCGCTGGCGTCACGGGCGATAATATCAGGCACAAAGGGGCACACCAACCGGCAGCATTATCCCCAAATACTCGAGCCTCGCGTAAATACATAGAGTGTAAACGCTGTCGCCATGTTATCGTAGTAAAACCGCCCCCCCCTCCCCCCCCCCTCCCCCAACGGGGGACTGCAGTACGCGACGGCGTACTAACACAACGGCGTCGATATCGACATCGCGGGCTCCGAATTTTCCCATAGTTCTACCCCACGGGCATTTCTCGAAACGCTTGATATTGTGTACGCCCGCCTGGAAGGATTTCAGGCGCGTAGTTAAGATAAGGCGGTTCTCCGCGGCAAAAGAAAGCAATTTCACAAAAGCTTAAAAGCGGCGGCGACGCGTGTGCGGTGAACGCTTGTAGTTTTGGTGTAGACAGGGTGTGTGTGTTCTCGTTGTTGACACCAGCCGGCGATAAGGCACTGCAGGCGGTAGCTCAGTACAGCAAGGGCTAATCCGAGTGACCATCAACGTAACCCCACCGCCAACGCCTCGCGAACCGGTCGCCGACATGGCTCAGGCTGTGTCATGAACCACGTGGTAGAAGCTCGGGTGCTTTCATATCAGCGCGTGGAGGGACGACAGTGCGATTCCGGAAAGTCTTTTTCGAAGGCCGCTGACCACAATTTTTTGTCTGGAGACTTTCCCTCTTTCTTCCTTTGACGTGGATCAAGCTTTGCCGATTGTGACCTCTCTTTTCAAATGTACGTTTGCAGTGAGTGAGCTCCTCAGCCTCGGACTTGTCACTTGTGCACCCAGTAGTTCTTTCACTTGGCAATTATATGCCATCAGTTGGGGTTTAATTTCTATTATTTATGTATACATTATGAAGACGTCCTGGAGCTCCGAACGAGTGTTTTGTGCAGATTACTTTTGCAAACACAAAAAGACTATACCAAAGCAGCGGAATTTTCGAACTGTTGGCGAGTTGGACCTAAACTCGTTGAAGCAAATTCTTCCGCCTGACTGTTCCACCAAAGTGAGTGCGACGGACTACCTGTGCTACCATTGCTTCATGCACATCACTAAGGAGATCTCGATGCGAAGCTCAGAGCAGTGCCCTGATATATTTGTGCCAGCTGAAGAAGCAATTGAAGATCTAAATCGCAGCATACTACCTACAGATGTGTCGCCGCTGAGACAACCAAGCGTCGTAAGAAGTCGGGACAGGCCTGCCTATGTCAAGAGAAAGCAGACAGAACTGGAGCAGGTTGCTGTCAAGAATATACGCTCAAGGCTACGTATTGCGTACGACAGGGACGCACCATCGGGGTCGTCCGAACCAACATGCTCCACGTGCACTGAGTGGGTGGACAACTTTCGGCAGGCCTTTGAAACCGCCACCTTTCTCCGGGAACGTTGTCAACTGCTTACACTCCTGCCGTCAACACTGACGAAGAATGAGGGTCAAAAGATGATTCCACAGGCCTCAATGTACCTCATCAGTAAATCCCGAAAACTCAAGGAAAAGCATGGCGTGTGGTATGAGCCGGATCCTTACACGAGGTGCAAGGTGAGCCCTGAGAACCTGTCTGCTGCCCTAGAGTACTTCACGAAAGACGAGCTACAATGTTCGCGCCAAAGTCCCAACCAGAAGGACGTCATCTCTGTCATGCTCAACGGAGAGAAAACGTTCGTGCCAGAGCGCTTCATGACACGCTCAATACGAGAGGCCTTCCGTATAAACAAAGACAAGCATCCCGATTCCGGCGTTGGGCTAACGAAATTTTATTCGTTGCGCCCTAGATGGGTCCAATGTATTCCACACCAGGAAGTGTGCGTTTGTGTGCGCTGCGCCAATTATTATTTGTATTGCCGCTCTAGAGAACGTTACAGGCTCAACATTCAACACTGGTGAAATGAACTCGGCATTTCTGTGCGACCCAGCAACAGAACTGTGCCTTCAAGGAGACTGTGATCACTGCCCAAAAGGCCAGTTTCTTACACTCCAGGAACTTGATATCCCGGAGGATGCAGAGATTGTGCTTGCAACATGGGAGTCCGGCGACCTTGTGAAAAAAACTTTGGAACCTCAGACTTTCCTAAAAGTCATCCAAGTGACGGTTGGAAGTTGGGTACTTCACAACCATATCCGGCAAACGCAAGGTAAAGCGATCTACGATGAAAAACAGTGCATGAAACGCGGGAGCATTGTCTTTCATTTTGACTTTGCTGAAAACTGGACCATCGTGCTTCCTGACGAAGTGCAAGCATATCACTGGAAAAAAAACAAGTTTCGACATTTACATGTGTAGTGACGACAAGAAAATCTACAAACAGCTTTGCCATCATCAGTGAGGACCTGTGTCACGACGCCGCTCACGCTTGCTTGGCTCTAGAAAAAGTGAAGGAGTGGGTTGAAGACAACGTTGCGGTATACTCGTACGTGACGTACGTACGTGACGGCGCCGCCAGTCATTTCAAGAATCGCTACCAGCTTCACCAATTTGCAAAGGACGATTGCCCACAAGCCCAGTGGTTATTTTCTGCATCTGGACATGGGAAAAATGCATGTGACGGAGTTGGCGGACTCGTGAAGCACCAGGCCACGCTGAACAACCTGAGAGAACGTTCAGTAAGCGCAATTCAGACGGCCAGGACAATGGTGAGCGTTCTATCAAAGAAACTGAAAGGCGTGCATCTTGTATATCTGGACGAAAATGAGGTTGTTCGGTATCGTGAACAAAAAAAAGAAGAGTGGCTGACGGTGCGCGCCTTCCCTGGCATTCAGTCTTGGCACGCGTGGCGGCTCAGCAAGTCATCAACAGAAGGGACCTGTGACGTATATGTAGCACGGACAGTCGGATCTGCTTGGAAGCAACTTTATTAAATGGGTACAGCGAGGAAAACCTTAGCGTAAAGTGCCGAATTTGATTTCCCAAGGACTGCTCATTTTGAATGCAGGGACATCTTATTTATCACATTTTTCTTCACGGGGTATTTAACCTACTGTTTTTGTTGGTGGTTACTAATAATTTTTATCTGATCACTATAAAAGAAATCCCAAAATGTTATCCTCGAGCAGGATAAAATATATCGGCTTGCCACGATTCATTCATACACCGAGAGCATCGAAGCTGCTCCAGTTAGGCACTATGGCATCCGTCACCTGAAATTGTTTGTAATCGTAAATACACAGCCAACCTAAATATCTTACTATTATATCTTCGTTTTTGTGTGTGGAAGTAAAGTTATTTATTTTACTCTAGATGTAAAATATACCGGAAGGTACAACTTCACACTGCATCATCTTTTCTCAAATCTTTAGTCTCTAATATGATACCACTTTGTACGCTTATGTAAAATGCTGTATATAGTTTCTCCTCCCTTTTACTGTGTGACCGATTGCTCTTTTTATCAATGACCTCATCTGAATAAATGTATATAAAAGATTTGTGCAAGTTTCATGAAACTGGAACTCAGAGTCACTTCTTGTATAGGACACTGCTAAGTGTAGGCTTTGAAAAAGGACCCTACTTTGGGGAGTTGTTTCTTCTTTCACAGTACAATGATGCAACATGTTTTTAATAGAAATGAATGCCGAAATACCGTATAACAGGGTACCCAAATTTAAAAAAAATCGAAGGTGGTGTTTTTTTTTTTATTCGCATTGGAATTTTTCTTTGTTTGATTTTTTTCCCATGTTTGCCTAAATATATTGTAACTATTGTGTCACTCAGATACCTTATTTATTTTTTCAATAATAGCCATATTTTAGTAAAATAATGTCTGCAAGTTATGTAATAATGATTAAATTATTTCATGAGATACAGATTTCCAAAGTTTGCCATTTGTCGTTCGAGCAGGCATGTTTGGTAATTTTTAGAAAACTAAATCAATTTTTAATAAATATTATTACTTTATATTACAAGCAAGTTGTACCCATAGTTTGTTTGTAAAAGGTTTTAAAATTCTCCTAATTTTATTGTTTTAATTATTCACTTTCAAACTTGCCCCCTCCATCAGTGCGCGTTATTGCAACTGTCCACCTCTCCCTGCCTTACGATTTTTCTTGTCTCCAAATTTTTTTTCTGGTCAAAACTAAGTGTGGATTCGTTTATACCAGACACTAGACAATGTCATATAAAAACATCAGTTGATTTAAAAATGTCGACCAGCCACCCTTTGGTCGATCTTATCTGAAATCACCCGCATATTCTGTACCGATTCTATACCTCTGATCAAGTTAATTTTTCTTTTCGCGTTTTGGCAGCACTAAACGCTGAACGAAGGACATCAATTCTAGAGCGGGGATACATGTAGAATGCTTAAACTGCCATTCTTCAAAACAAATTTTCGCAAAAAGGCTCACTACTCAAACATCCTTTCTATGTAGAATGTAGTAGTGTTCTGTTTTCCTTTTATGAATTTTTATTTAAAGTAAGCAAACATATTTGTTTGAATGTTGTCTAAATTTCGAATAGACTTAGTGGCAAGAATTAAAAGGCATTTCGATTGATGTATTGCGTAGAAGTTTAGTGTTCGCTCCCTAAGCCTAAGCAAATGGTGATGACTGCGAGCTTCGCAGAGAGGTTCTGCCAGCATGTAAATATCGTTTAATCGACACTTTCATCTCCCACAGCGGCACCATCACTTTCAATGACCTGATGAATTCTGCAACGGCTGAAGACCACGCCATCATGAACTCTTTTTCTGCCAAAGTGCAGTTCGACCAAGACGCTTTTATCCAGTTTTCCTCAGTAAGTGTTTAAAAATGAATTATTTTAAGCTTGAGAACATTAGCGTCCCACGATAAGCAATATCCCTAAATTACACAAATGCCATGGTTTTCTATGAAGCAGAGCACCAGGTGGAGGCCACGCAGTGGTGGTCATGACAGTTCCACCGCCTTCTACGAACAGCTATTCAATCACAGAGGTTGCCGAAAATGTTGAGCGACATGTTCACTGGTATTATAAATTCACTCTTGCAGAAAACGCCACGACACCCCTTTATTATCCCAGAGTCAACCGAACGACACAAACAATTGGAAAGAAGGGGGGGGGGGCGCTAAATTTTACGCTCAAACCGAATCCGAGACATCGCATTTTATTTTATGAATAATTGTTTCGGGCTCTAAATCCCAGAAGCAGCGCTTTATGTTTGGTTAACATAAATAGTTGTCAAAAAAAAAAAAAAAATAAGGCTGACAGATAGGGTGTGTTATAGTTCTGCTACTTTGCATTCTGAAAAAGAAAAGTGGAACTTTTTTCTAGTTATGGATTGTTGTGTATATGCTGCCCATCACATTGCCGTAATGTGTAAGCAGGTATAGGATAGTGTCACATATTTACAAAATAATTTATGAAAATAAATTATATGACATAACTTGGATGGTTCATTTTATCGAATGAGACTGAGCATTCAAATTTCATCACGATGCCGTAAGCGAATTCGAGCAGCCTCTCTTCTTTCTTCCTAGATCTGGGAGTCGAAGTATAGCATAACCGTTGTTTTGAATTGTATGACCTGGTGAGTTATTTTTTGTAGGTAAATTTAGACATCCGGAATGTTAGTCATGTGGGGCGTGTCTCTCAGCTGTAGTAGATGAATTTAGCCAGTGCAGTACACTCGCCAGCCTGGCGTTTTTAACGTGCTCCACTCGATGACCTAGTAGGGTCTCTCGCTACGTCCTATAAGGTCAGATAAATTGATATGGATTCGGGGTTTTCTAAAGCTTTTAGCAAACACGATACCTGTGCGTCCAGTACAGAAACATGGCATTATATCATTGTTCCCGCTTTCATAGGACAATGTAAGTACCACGAAAAACATCTGGAGAACGGCAGTTGAATTTTATAACCAGAAATACGGACAGCCGTTTTGATTCGACAGCATAACTACTTAAATACATTGGTTTATTGCCGATCGCGCAAAAGTGAGTCGACTGAAATTTTAGTTCTTTTGAACGACATATCTAAAATTTATAAGATAAAGTACGTTACGCTATCCGAAGCAATAGCCATTACACGTAAGCGTGGCTGGACACTTGTTGAGTATTTTTAATAATAACAGTTTAGCTACGAATGCTATCATTAAGCTATAAGAGAGTAAAACAGCCCAGATAGGCACACTTTTAGGCAGGGATGGGCAAAATACATGCAAATATGTATCGAAATACAAATACAAAATACTTCGTCAAAAAAGTATTTAATTACAAATCTAATTACATTTCCAAAGAAGCATTTAAGTACAAGATACAAATACAACCAAATGTATGTGGTCTCTTCCAAATACTTTTCCAAGTACATTCCTCAAAATGTGCGTCAGCGACTTCAGGGCACCTGCAACGAGTTTCTGGGTATCTCATTTTACTTTTGCATCCCACACTCGGGAGTTAATGTGCGAGGCTCTAGTAACGTAATAGAAATATAATTTCACAAAAAAATGTCATCAGCTTGGACGTAATAGGTGAAAAAAGTACAGAGCTTCAAGCAGCTTTTTTTGTCGATTACATTTTGGTATAGATCAACAAAGAACCGAGACGACCAAGACGGAGCACTGTATCTAGAGACTTTTTTATTGTTGCAACTCACACCAGTTACGAAAATCTGGACGACCCGCGCACTTAGAATGTTCCAGGCAAAAATATGGATGGAAATCAGGCTGGAAAGCATCACAAGTTGTCACAGGCATTTATTTAGCCAGTCTGCCTGTGAACGTCGATTTCGTCACTATTCTTGCCCTGAACTAGCACCGTAATCACAATGTCACTAAACGCTTGTGCTTGATTGAGAGACACTGCATTCGGTGCAGAACGTAGTTGTCTTCCTGCTCTGGACAGTGACAATAAAGTTGAGAATGTATTTTCGCCCCAAAAAATTGTATTTAATTAGAATTGTATTTGAAATACCCACGTTTTAGTGTTTAAATACACACGCCAAATACATTACCCAATTTGTAATTAAATACAACTGCAAAATACACAAAGTATTTTAAATACGTATTTCAAATACTTGTATTTGAAATACTGCCCATCCCTGCTTTTAGGTATGCAAGTGTTGATTTTTTATTGGTCCAGTGGAAAACGAGCTACTTTGTCAATTTATCATTTCGTATGTGTTTCCTGCCCAAAAAACAGACTCGATATTTTTGTTTCTATTTCTATTATTACTTTATTTATTTTGTAATATTATTTCCTCGGTTCAAATATTTGTAGAAAATCAGAATAAAAATTGACAGTATTTTTAAATAAATTCATAAATAAAATGCCTTTTACACGAACAGAAGGAATAATACGGAGCCTAATCTGTAAACAGTAAATTACGGCACTGGATTTCACGTTGACAGAACAAGTACCAAATAATCATTTTAGCTTGGCGATCAGCCGCAGAGACTCCGCGCCGGCTCAGCCGTGCCTTGTGGAGGCGGCGGCCGAGCTCCACGTAGCACGCCGCTCTTGGTCACCAGGCTGTAAAAATGTGGCAAGCTGTGCCAGGAGGTATGCAACCTAGTCGCTATGTAATACGGAAGCTGCAATAACTTCCAAACGCTAGGCGGGTACATGAGGCCTCATTGGACGGAAGCAATGGCTACACAAAACCCTGTTATGACTCTCACGGCATCTATTTAGGGAAGGTATAATGCTATTATATTTTCATGTTCATAGATAATAAATAAATCTGCATTATTTATTACTTTTTTTGTCGGTGGTGCTACTAACAAACCTAGCTACTCAAAAGCGAACCTTGCGGTTCTGTTCGGGAAAGACGTGATGGAGTATAAATACTTTTTTCAAAACACCATCCCGTTTTCATAGGTTGCCATTATTGTTAACTATGGGCATTTATTCATTCACGTAGGGTACAACGGGGCAGCCGAAACCTGCACGATTGTCTCACTTCAACGTTGTCAACAACGCCAACACTCTGGGCCGTTTTATTGGATACCATCAAAAGGTGTCGTAGTGTTTTTTTTATTTCCAGTACTTCAACTAATTAAAGCAAATTATTATAATTTTTATATTAGTCCTTAAAAAAGCAGTTTCCAAAATCGGCGAATCTGAGAAAATTATATACAAGGTATTCCCCAATAACTAGAAATAATATAGGAAATAACAATTCAAATAAAGATTTGGATTCCCTCCCGCTAACACTGCAGATCAAAGCGGAGGTTGAAGTGCAAACAGAAATAGTTAGAACTATAATTATCCAAAATTAACTAACAGAAGGCTTTAAATATTCTCGTTATCTGACCCATTTCAATTAAAGCTACGTTACCGGTCATCCAAATACGTAATCATAGTTGTTTGACACTAGAAAACTGTATACATTTTCGCGCAATTCAATGGAAAAGTTGGGCTTCATTCATTTGATGGTAACTCTGTATGACAGTACACAGAAGGTGAGCGAAATTTGTTTTATTACGTGTGTAATAAGGATTGGATATATGTATATAACCACTGCAAGCTTGTTATCACCGTTGGCGAATATAACCGGATTAATAGCAGGCCCCAAATTAAGAGCCGCCGTTTAAAGTGCACGAGGTGTAAAATTTTTTCTGTATATTTCTTTTTTATTTCATTTTCCCTCAGGGTTTAATTCCTCAACGACTTTCTTTCAGCAATACTCATCGCGGCCGTCGTTACACATTATTTTCGTCTTCCTATAGTTCGAAATATTTGGGAGTCATTTATTCAGAGTGTGGCGGTATCAACGCAGCAAGGGCTCAAACGGGCACCAAAAGGAGACAAACTAAGGCTTGTGCGTTCGACGGTCAAAAAGACCTGCCAGTCGGTCGAACTGTTTGCCTTTCATGCGTCAAACCTCTCGTCCAATCTGCATTTCGGAACCGAAACTTTTTATTCAAGGTGTTATTAACATCTGCTTATCTGCTGAATCATTCAAGAGTGGCGAATTTTGGTCTCAGTACATTGCCGAATGTACCCCGGAATCCCTGCAGATGCACAGTCCGACAGCGGAGGGATGCAGGATTTGACAGAACGCGAGACTTCGGGGAAACGTAAATATAAAAACGCATAGATTTAAGTCACAAGTAAGGAGTTCATTCAGGAGTCTTTCGCACTTCAGCATTATTGCGCAGGTTAAGAATATAGAATACGAGATGCCTGGCTAAAACTAAATAAGCTGTTTATTCTGTAATTTCACCAAATTTTATTTCGCAAAAAAGGCCAGCTGGTACGGGCCTCCGGCCTTTATGGCACACATCAACACTCCTTGTTCCAAATAGTGATAATTAATATTATAAAAATAAGCAAACCAGAACAATTTTAGATTTGTCTTTATTTGCCGCACACGCGCAGTCTTCAATCTTCTTTTCGGACGCGGTCGTCATGCTGATATCCCTGGATTTCATTATCCATTAGTATAAGGATAAACATACGCCCTTGCAAAAGTTGGTATTCCGGTGTTATTTAATTTATATTGAGAAGTGCAACGAATTGCGTCGTCTGAAATTGGAGCAACTCGGTCGGCACTACCCTACATTTCAGACAAAATGAATAGCGAGATGGGTTTCTTGCCATAATCAGAAAGTTTGCTGCAGTCCTAAGAAAAAGCGCGTCCAAAAAGTGTTTTCTCTCGAAGCTTCTTGGCCGAAAAAACCGAGCTCTTCGTGTTAAGTTATAAGTATGATTGCTTGGGGCGCTCTGCATCAAACATATAAGAAAACCACTGGTGGAAATAACTTGCTGAATAGCGTTCAGCAATAATGCACGCTCTCTCAACAACAGGCTACTGTTTGTTTCTTCTTCAACAGTTGCCAACCCGTTGATTCCAGTCCATAATACAAAAAAATCGTCTTATTTATTTCCATGACGTCACACAATTGAATTTAGAAAAGGTGCTTGCAATAACTGCAGGAATGAAGAGAGAATGATTTCAGGAATGCACGAGTACTGACTTTAACGTGAGAATCTTTTCTGGTGCAACATGCAATGAGAAAACAAGTTTGTTGCTTTCACTTTGAAATTTCAACCCAGCAAATAGATTAGTATTACACACCTTCAGGCATTACAAAACCTATCCACACTTTGTGCGCTTTTCGTAATCTCAGCGTGCAAACGTAGTTTGATACAAGGTTTCACTTTATAATATCGGCCACTTCGATTCATCTGCGAGGTCTGGGCAAATGGGAAGCTGTGCAGAACTGAAACATTTACTTTGGATTGTTTCACAAATACAAACCATTGTTCGTCTTTGCAGCGTGAAATCATGTGCTTGAACGCAGATCTGATCTACGGATTCGGCAGAACATTGGGCGTGTTGGCTGCCACAATGTTCGGTTCTACCGCAGTTATACCTGGAGCTAGATTTTCACCAAAAGCGACCCTGGAAACCATCACCAACTACAGGTTATATGATCGCTCAATATATTTTCGAATATTACCCGTTTTTTCGGTTTTGTATTAAAAACGAATGTCCCTACTCTAACAGTGATACTATAGCCAAGCTAGGAACCCATGCTCTTAACACTTAACGTATTGTTAACTGTGGCAATCTAGCGCACACCTTTCTTCTGATTCACTTTGAGGCCGTCTGCAATTAGACCTCGATGTCAGAGAGACATTTAGTCTAGCCCGGCATTTTTCTACAAGAGGAGTGCCGTTGCTTCTTGTGTCACGTTTTTTTTATCACTATAGTGCAAATATTTTTTTATTTCTTTGTCCTTAAGTTAAAAATGCCCCAACAGCTAAAGGACTTAAAAGTGCTATACCATAATACATAGAAAAGAAGCGGTACAACACTGAAATAATGAAAGTACAAAGACACTATTGAAATGCCGATGTTCTATGTGATTTCCACTACCACTGCATTTTAAAAATCGTTAAAACTAGGAAAGACATAATTTGCAGCTGACGTAAGATTTCTGTACATGTCCACCTTTCTTGTGAGAGGCGAGCGGTTTCAATATCTAAGAACATAAAAGTTTATTATATCTCAAGAAGCGAGATGGTACAGGAATGCTTATGTATTTTAGCAGGCCTGCGAAAGCTACTCCGCCATTCGATAGTTCGTGCAAAAATATAATAAGTCCCTAATAGTTTTTTGTGAAAGTGTGATCATTCTTAATTTATAAAGTAGCCAGGTATTAAAATAATATATTGCTTGCCGAGGTAAGGGTCGTAAATCAAACGAATAACATGTGCCTGCACTTTTTCGATACTCTATAATCTAGACAAAGTAATGGCATTCCATATCGGAGATAAAAATTCCAATGTCGAGCAGACGAAAGAGGTTTACAGTACTATTACAATTTCCGGGTTCCCTGTATTTCTGGACACTTTGCCAAGCATCCTCAATGATGAAGAAACTACAACATTCACCTGTGCTTCGATTCGAAGTTTATCATGAGCATACTAAAGCTCTTCCATGAACCGAACATTAAAGCTTGATCGTTCATGCATCGGTAACCTGTGTCCAAAAGTACGCTCAATATTCCAGATGCACGATCGCCACTGGTTCAACCAGCATATTCTCCGATATAATGCGTAAGCTTGAAGAAGGATCATACGACGTTTCTTCCGTTAGAAAAGGTATGGAAGTTTCATCTAATAATAGTTTAACGTCCTACTTTCTGGTACTGCGTATACTTTGGCTCACTTTATCACAGAATGCAGTGAAGACCACACGCACGTGATAAGTTATTTTTATATCGGCTTGGATGGATTCACGCTTGTGCAGTTTGTGGAGTGGGTGCAAAAGTAAAATTTATACTCTCTCTTCTTAACCTTTGTGGTATTACATCCAAAAGGAAAAGCCCCAAGAAATCTGCGAAGATCTGTCCTTAAATCGTGCGAAAATCGGAAAGTGCGAAAATTATTTCACGTGCTTTTAGAGGAAAGAGCTCATTTAATGTACGTGAACTGCGTGTAGGGTCTAGTTAGAACCACGTTAGGTACTTTTGTATCCCAAATACCCTCGTGTTCTTTATACTTCAAAATGGGCGTATAATTATTTGCTTAAATTTTGATATTAGCCCATTGGCACTTGCTTTACAGACTGAACTCAACCTCAGGTGCAATTTTGAACAATAATAAGCCTGTAAAAATAAAACCGGTCATGCGTTTTAGTTTTGCATTGCAGCACGCTGAATTTATTCACTCTAAAGAACATATCCTGCTGATTAAATTGAGACGAACTTCATTCCCCCAATCAGCTTTCATTTGTATCAGCACGAGCCCGTCTTAGTACTTCAGGCAAAGCACACTGATCAGTTTTCAGGCAAAGACAATGATCAGTTTTCTTTTTCTAACATCTCATTCGCATGACGAACGCTCTTGTCCTCAGTGCGCCACCCGTTCTGTTCAACAATGTCCCCATCAACCCCTTTTTATTTTTTTTTTTTGCGAGGCGATGTGATGACAACCGGAGCACTTCTAACAAGCCCCTGACTTTTAGTTTATTCTAGAGCGGAGCCAACCGCGACATGCGCGTATCCACCTGGACAACTGCAAACCACACTACCGCTTGTCTAATGACGAAGGCGCGGAATAACACATGGCCCGCGCATGCGCATGCGAAGGAGAGGAGAATAGGCGATTGCGGTTGTAAGAGAAAAAAAGGAGGGGAGAAGGAAATTGTTCCGAATTACAGATCAACATTTTCGAAGCTTCCTACCAATATGAAGGCTATCGCGTTTAACATGGAACACACAACGTAGTATCACAAATGTGGCCCACATCGACCAGGCTTCAGCCCATCACTGCGTCAAGTGAATGCGGGCCACTATCTGAATACCGCACCCCCCCCCCCCCCCCCCCCCCCCCAAATCTGGTGGGATTAGTACACCTCTCCAACGTGTCACACGACGCGTCGGGAATTTAGTCGTTTATCTGCCCTGGTCTTTAAACGAGAAACACCTTATCAACAAAATGTCCCACTGGCCGCAGGACTTGTCGGTAAGGCTTCCTTCTGTACAGTGTTGAACAAAATTGGGGGAGCTGATTCATATGAAAGAGTTACACAGCTCCTCCTGCGTTAAAATAACGGCGTCCTGCCGCAATTGCCACCTGCATGGGATGCGTGAAGCTGCACAGGCAGACACACTCCTGTCTCAGCGACGTACAGCCACGAATAACAGATTACTTCGAACCTGAAACAAAAAACTTTAAGGGACAAGCCTGCCCCCAACATGAAGTCAAATTACCCCTTTTTATTCTGTGACAAAAACAAAGGGGGAACTGACCCCAGTTCCTGGTCGGCAGCGACTTTGTTTAACTCTCCGTAGTCTGCATTTGTCTAGGACAGAACCGGTCTCATCATATTGCAGTCTATTCAGAACCTAACACGGTCACAGCGTTATGCGCGGTCGGCCGTGATCGCGGGAAAAGGGGGGGGGGGGGGGGGGCAGTAGGGGTGTATTTTGGCGTTGGCCAAGATAGCCTAAATTATCGCTAGAGAAGTAACATCAAGGGAGTTCCGCTGGAAGGTTTTTTGAGCTCAGGACAGCACCTTTTGCTATACTTACTTGTTTTGACCATGACTTTACAGTGGTAGTGGAACGGGACAGCACGGTGAGACTCTTTCTGGGGACTAGTCAAATGAATGTCGAAACCACTGCTCTCGTCTGGGTGAAAATAGGCATCCCCTGCATATATATGAGAAACTAGCATTGAGTAGCACTTTAGGGAAACTGTACCTGTTTTATTTAAAACTTTCAAATGCCAACCTGTCTACCGTAAAGTGACCGTCACCCAAAGCCGTTCAATGTGGTTACTCAATCTCTTGATGCAGAACGTTCTGTCACAAAATGTATGATTGATTATAATTTAAAGTTGACGGCATCGACGACGCTTTTCTTCGGAAGGTTTCCTTCGTAGCGTCTCATGGCGATTTGTGTTTGACCTCAATACTCTAATGGAACTGCGAATCCTATTTCACAACTACTCTGATGTGGATCGTACCTTAAAGGATTTGGTTGTGGTTGAGGTTTTCTGGAGTAGCCACGAGCTTGTTCGTGTTTTTGTTTGAACTTTCTCTTCACCCCACTTTGCTTGTTTTTTGCCTGACATTTCCTCTATTCACTGTTTCCTGAATACCCTTTGGCGTTTGCAAATTTTTTCGCAGCGATCATGTCCGGGTCATTATGTAATCCTGCCATTGTGGAAAAAGTAAGAACAAGGCTGAACGCTCAAGCTGTATACGTACGTAAACAATTCTGAAGCGAGTCTCTTTACTACGACATGCTTTCATGCTTCCTAGGTCTGCTATCTTACGCCTTACAATGGTGCGACCTTTCAGATCATGTACGGTGCCACCGAGACCAGTCCGATCTTCAGCAGCACGAACCCAGATGAGCCAACAGATCGCTGGATTCGGACAATTGGGACACCGCTGGACCACGTTGAGGTCGGTACTCACCGGTCGCTGCCCACTTTTTCGACTAGGGGTAACCAGGAATATGCAGTGCCATCTACACTCACTCCAGTCTTCTACTTGAGCTATCAACGATTATTCAAATGGTCGCTTTCTAGCCTAATTTACAGAAGAGTAACATTAGGGACAAAATGCTCGACGGTTCGTACAACGCGTCAGAGGGAGGTCCGAGTTCGGCGAGGCTCAGGTGGCTCAGGAAAATCTAGGTGTCTCGCTGGTTTCGTCTCTCATGTGCCTCGCGCTTAATAAGCATTAATACAAGTTTGTATGAACTTTAGATATAAAAAAATGTTTCTTGTATCTGTGACATTGTGCCCACAAATGTTTAGAGAAAACACATATTAAAAAGACCACAACGCGTCGGAAAATTAAAAGAAATCTAGACAGGGGGAAACAAAAATATAATTTTTCTTCAAAGAAAACTTGGCGAGGCGTCCTCGGCATCAGGCCCTAATACCTTTTCGTCGCCAAGCAAATTATAAGGCAGAAGAGGCAAAATTTAATAGCGAGATTTCTGACAGCCATATTTTGAGGAGCGTTCTGTGAACGGTAATTTCACAGGCATTCAGATAGCGGCATTTTTGTGCTCATGTTCGTTATTGTACGTATCATCATATCGCTGGTGTTTTACGACGAAATCAGTGAACATGTTTTCTTGCGCCGTTTCCTGTTCCCAAATACATTAGCCAGCCTTCCACTTCCCAATCGCGCAAATATTTGCTTTTCGATTGGTTTATCTTAAAATCGTCTCTAGAAATGAACTTTGTACTTCACGAGTCCCCTCTTGAACGCCGGGTGTTTTTATTCTTCAAGGTGTTTCGCTTTGTGACTCAGATGGCGTACTCATTTACCGTTCTATATTGTATGTTTTGGTTTCTTGACATGTCAAAACACTTTTCTATCAAAGTAAAACTTTTCCTTTCATATAGTTCACTTTATAATACATGCCTAAAAAAGCAGTTGTATTATAGAAAAAAATACATTCCTGAGGAGCTATATTGTATTACTCAACTAACCTCACAAATGAGTCATAAATATTGTAGTTACTCCTGTGCGAAGTGATTTAAACACTAACTTAAATAAGTAGTTTCACTACTTCTATTTTTGTGAGACACACTTCCTTTTCGAAGCCAAACGTGCGTTCGTGCTTGCATCTGTGGATGTAAGTGTTTTATTATTTGGTCCCTATGCTATACGCCTCAAATGTGGGCTCATTTTCGTCTTCTGCGCATGAGAAAGGAAGTAGCGATGGCGTCAGAACGCCGAGCCCTGATTGGCTGATCGCGACCCCTATCTCTGCGTCGTCTGCTCCTTTGCAACGTCGTCTGCGTCTGTCTTACCTTTCCTGCGACTTTCGGAAGTTCGAGTTCGACTTCGCCTTTCAGAGAGGGCAGACGAAATAACTCGAGCGGTACGTTGTTTTTGTCTAACAACTAGCAGACGCGCATCAAGCAGGGAAGTCAAAGGACTCACTGGCGAGGTGTCCCGAGGCGCCGAGGTTTGTTTGCTTAGAACCGAGAGTGAGCGTGTTAGTGTCCGCAAGTTCCCTCCCAAATACTTTTTCCCTCCATTCGTGTGCGGCGAGACCCCTCACTCTTTAACGGCGTCGGCAGGTTGGCGCAGTTAACGTCGTCTGCTTTACGTCTGCTAGACAAAGCGATGGCTGCTTTACCTTTCCTGCGTCTGTCGGAGATTCACCACTTTTTCACCGGCGAGAGTCACCGTTGCCTCGGGAAGCAAGAAGATAACAAGAGGAAGGAATTGACCTCTTAATCTAAAATTGAGGTCAGCGATCAAAGTATAATACGGGAAAGGTTCACAAGGGTCGCGCGGGCATATTCCATTCTGCACGCCAGCCGGTCGTGGGCAGACGGTCGCCGAGTCGCGGAGTGCCTGCTAGGCCTAACTGCCCAGCTCGTTTGGTCGCGTTCGGTGGAATCGTGGCCGTTGGTGCTTTTCCCGGGTGTTTGTGGATCCAGCGTTCTTGTTCGTCGTGGTCTGTTTTAAGTACTTCTTAATTTTTTCTTGCTGCTTGAAGACGGGACGCGTCAGAAGCGCAGGTAGAAAAATAAACGTCCGTGGGTCGTCGCGACCGCGACGCTGTCGGCCATGCTGATTTGATCGTAAGAAGTGCGTAAGACAGCTTTGGAGCTGCCGTAGGATTTCGTCGTAACCTGCGCAAAACTTGCGAAAATTTCGTTTCGTGAATACGAATTTGTTCTTAAGTTTTGTCTTGCGCAGAGTTTTGGCGTAAGATCGTTTCGTGAATCTGGCCTCTGCGCTTCCGAAAGTCGCAGGAAAGGTAAGACAGACGCAGACGACGTTGCGAGCAGACGATGTTGCAAAGGAGCAGACGACGCTCAATAGGGGGTCGCGATCAGCCAATCAGGGCTCGGCGTTCTGACGTCACCGCTACCCCCTGCGCAAGAAGCAGACGAACTTGCCCTCCGCATAGTGCATGAAACACATCTTGGGCATGTGTGTTGCGCCTCCTATTCGGCGAGGAAGTGTTCCATAACGCGTCCTTGGTGCATTAGACCATAAGGAGGTTGGACTCCCGCCAGATGGTTACACAAGGAACGCATGCAGAACGAGTGATGACGAAGCAGCCAAGTTCGCGCCGTCATTGGATGAGATCAGAGAAAAACAATAGCACGGTGGTACATCTGGCGACTAAACAAAGACACTACATCCGTTAAAGGCAGACGAAAGTAATTTTGAAATGATAAGCAATCTAATTGCAAGGACTGGTGCGTCATGGCGTCGGATATCGCAATCCTGGTGGTACTTTGTCGAAATGTGTGCAAGAAAGGTGACCGCACGCAAGGGTTGGTGTCCTCCCGGCGTACCCTACGCTGTGAGCACACCTTTCCATTGGCTGTTTGGCTCCAGAGCGAAAGCTACCCTAGAGCAGGCGTCCACTCAATCCGCCTTCGCTGTCGAGGTACTGTCAAGGTCACGACAGAAACATCCTGACACATGAGTGATGTAGCTATGCGTAAATTAAGGGACCAAAATTACATGCACGCGCTGGACACAACAATCAGGGTTTGTCACGCAGGACAGCCCCTGACTGTAAGGTTTTGGCAAGGTTGGTTGAGGTGTAAAATTGATGAAAACACTAGTTGTTCTGGAATATCAGCTATTAGCGTTAAGCCCAATTTCCGAACTCTTTTTTGTTACGTTCCGTCCATAAAAATCCCCCCCCCCAAAAAAAAAAATAAAAAATAAAAATAAAAAAGGACCATAAGAAGATGTAGGATGGTCCATCAGGCTGTTGGTCTGATGGTTGATTGTATTTTGTTACATCTGACGGCCTAATGGTTTGGTTGCCTGTGGGTCTAATGGTCGGTGTAGATTTCTAACCACCTATATGGAATATAAAGGGAGAAGACAGAGATTGCCTAACAGGCAGTTCTGGACTTCATTTCGTAACCATCATTATTTAGAAAAAACAAGAAGGTTTAGGACAATTATGAATGAAGACCGTGTTGGTGGGGGCCATGATTGAAGAAAGAATAAACAAGTCAGACCAAAGAGACATGTTACATCTGTACTTCGTTACATCATATTACACATGACGAAAGAGGTGGTTGTATCGTCTTCGTTTTACATGTTTATTTTTTCTTCAGTCCAGGCTTTAGGATACCTTTAGAAATCGTCATATGAACCTGAAAGTAGAGTTTGTATTTCAATAATGATATGTCAATACTCCTATTCAGAAAATAGTGTTCGTTCATTTATTATTTCGTAAAACAAGACGGAAGAGGAAACGTACTTACTCCACTCCGGATGTTCGAGGCTCTACAACTTGTAAATTTATCGTTGTCTCTTGAGTGGCAGTCTAAAATCTTTCTTCATCGTCCATGGTGGGCATCACGGCGTTGTGCGAGAGCGTGCAATACGCTAAGCCTAATCGGGCCGAGATTGACTTTGTGTTACCTTATTCACCGTTTTGTAAACTTTTTATCTTTACACATTTAGTTCTCACTACACATCAGTCTAGTAAGTGTGTTTCAACCTAGCAAAGAGCTTTTTTTTTTTTGCACATTTTGTGGCACTTAGATCTTAAAGGAAACCTGACACCCCTAATCTTTTTTCTTTTTTTTCATTTTTGCCAGGCGATTTATTATGGTATTGGAAAACTACCCAATTCATATTTTGCAACAGAGTCACGTATATTTTTATTAAAGCCAAGAAAACGCAACTGCTCGAAACCGAAACTGAAACCCGCGCATGGAGGTCGGAGGGGTAGAGATGAGAGAGTGAGTGGCGGAAGTCATGTGGCTACACCCAACCACGCGCTTTTTTTTTTCCTTCAATTAGTTTTTTCGCAGCAGACGACATGCGTGGCGGTAACTGTTTGCCCTGCTATTCCTTTGCCGTTATATCTGTTCCGCTCGCTGCTCTGTACTTCAAGATGAGCTGTTTTATAGATAGAGAAGTTGGAGATGAGTAGTAAGTACCTGTGGTGAATTTCCGTGATCGGCTCCGAGAAGAATACCCCCAAGATGTTGCGTGAAGTGCTGCCTCACATGTCCTGCGTCCGAAAAAAGTGGCTTTGTGCGGCAGAAGCGTCCACAAGTTTCCGAAAGATGAACGGAATCGGGACCAATGGCTGGCTGCAATTCCTGTAGAACATTTCCGCCTTCGGAAAGTGGACGCTGCCCGATTTATATGCTCCTTGCATTTTGTGAAAAGCGATTACATTGAGTTCGCACGTGTCAACAAGGAAATCCCATATCATTTAGTTCAGCGACGTTTCGTCCACAACCTTTTTGTCTTTCAGTGACAATTAAAAAAAAATGAATCGGTGCCGCATTAAAGACTAGTTATTGAAACGATGTAGCCAAAACCGAAAGTGATCCATTAAAATTAATTTAGAGAGATACAATAGAAGTGACCAGCCATAATAAGGCTAATAAAAATGATTATTATTGCACTAAGATCAAGGTGGACCAGAAAAGTCATCAATATATTAATTGACAAAAATGCAAAAACTAACATTGATACTAGAATCAGGAACCATTTTCTGGACAATGATGATTACCGGAGGTTATCCAATTCACTTAGCAATAGTTTTGTTAAGGCTGCAAGCGAATTAAGACACAGCATCAATCCAGTACAAGCACATGAGTCATGCAAATGGTCTAACTGGAAAGTTTCGGCATATATGCCCGACATGACGGGAGGATGATTTAACGAGTACCTTAAGTTTAGTGCCTATAACAAACTCTCCATGAACAGAAAGAATGCCCGTGCGAGACACACGATATAACATCGATACGCTTAAATATTTATTATTTTAGTTATCCACTGTGTCTTTTACATCGAATAAAATCCGAAGCGCATTGAAAGTCTCGATAAGTTTGCCAATATACAAAGGCGGAAGCAAAAAGTAATGTGCAATCGACAGGCCAATATATGTTTCTCTGTTAACATGTAAATTCTAACACTATTTTGAGTGTTAACACTAACATATTTTGGAAAAACTACTATTTTTTAAACTCTCGTGAAGAAGGAAGAGCATCGGAGCTGTAGCTTCTGTTTTCGGCGGTGGCTTTCCAGGCGAGCGATCTGCTCTTCTTTCGCAAGGTAATCTGAAGCGCTCGACGCAGTGGAACTTTGGTCGATAGCGGCTTCGCGGCGGTTGCAGAACCATACGCGCTGCTGCGCACATCGCCGCTTGTTCAGCTACCGTCCTTCTTCCTCCGAAGAAAGGTTGCCGTCATCTATGAGCGACGGCGGCAACCAGTTGTTTGGTGGCCGCCGTCGCTCATATATGGCGGTAGCTGCCCAGAGTTCGGTGTCATAATTTTTAATCCGGCGGGCACGATCCTGGGGAAAATAGCCCTTTACAGCTCGGCTGTAATAATGACCAGCCTCACCGCGGAACCTTCATTTTGTTGCCTTCTTTGAGTGAGAATGTGCGTGCGTAATGAGCCAGAGTTTCTACAATGGCAGGGGGACAGTGTTTCTTCAAATAGCCGAAGTTTTTGTCTGTGAAATCTGAGCGACAATAAATCGCCTACTCCGGCGCAAACACCCCAGCTCACGAACGCTAGTGTCGGTGACGGTTTAAGAGTTCAGTGGAAGCTCCTCCCACCTCTTTCCAGTCTAGCAGAACGAGCGCCAGAGAGAAGGTAGCCTCCTCTCCAGCTTTCGCTTCACTCAAGTGGAAAGCGGTGAGGGGAGCTTCCTCTGAACCCTTGACCTGTCACCGTCTGTCACATCTCCCCTAGAAACACTTGTCTCCATAGACAAGGGAACCTTCTTCGAGTCCACTCAGTGGATTTACTCCTTGCCGCTCCGGACGTCCCCGCTTTCCCTAACCAAGGGGACTGCTAATTTAGATAGGCGCAGCTTGCGTAAGCGCAATTTCAGACACTGATGGCAGCTAAAATTATCGCCTGTTCCCGCTGTTTTGGCGTTCCATGATGTATGTATTTTCCGGACGACATTGAGAATGTATTGCAACACTTTTCAAACAGAAACAAACTGTAATCTAATTTGGGGGTACATGAGAGGGAGCGCCAATGCGACTGGATTGTTTTATTTCTCGGTGAGTTTTATGAGGATTCAGAGAAAAGCTGTTAGGTTTATCTTCAAGAAATTCTGAAGAAAGAGATCACCATCAAAATTAATGCTTCAAAAAGATTTAACACTGCTGTCATCCAGAAGAAAGATAGCCCGGCTAAAAATGCTTTCTCTAATCGTGAATGGAACCATACGAATACCTCAAGATAAATATTTCGCTTTTTCCCAAGGGACAAACACTCGATTCCCACACCCGAAAACAATTTTTTAAAGTCGCTCTCGGGTAGATGCGTTTAAGTACTCCTTTTTTCCGCGCACTGTGTCCGATTGGAACAAACTACCTCGAGATATAGTCAACTGTGACTGTGTTTCTTCGTTTCTTCAGCAACTGTTATCAACTGAATAAATATGATATTTTTGCAATTGGCGCCTCACTGTCAAAGGCGCTCCACTGTTACAACTCTTGTGTCATATTTGCCACTGTCTGCAAGATAGTCGTTATGTAATTGTTCATGTACTGCTATGTGTACACTTGCCGACACACTGCTCTCAATTGAAGCTCAGAGTTTCTTTCGTGGCATTCTGGTGGCGGGGGCCTACACTTACATTGCAAGGATATTTTATACATAGTGCTTCATTGTTGTGCCACTCCTATTATATTCAATGTATTAGAATAATAGTATTGATAAAAAAAAAAACTCCATCGCCAGCTTAGCCGTGTTCATTGACAAGGCGCTTAGGCCTCTTAAATAATTTAGAACAAAGTATAGCCGAAAGACATGCATATCTAACGCGCAAAAATAATGTGATTACCACGCTACACTACAGAACTTGAACATTAAACTTAGCAAAAGTCAACATTCGAAGAATATATTGAACGTACCACACTATACAGCGTCATGCGAAAAAAACAACACATTTATTTAGGAAAAGTATTAAATAACACCAGCACAACAGCGTCGACCACACTCACATTTAAAAAATGGGACGAAACTCAAAATGAACTGTTTTTGTGATATGTTTTGAGGAGAGCTTCCTTTTATCACAACACAAACACGAAGCTAAATGAACGAACTGAACTTGTTCGTTTCCGACGCCAACCCGAACAGCTATTTTTGGCGATGAATGAAAATGTACCTGCGGGGATTACATCTTGGAATGTAGAGACGGTTTTTATTGTAGAGAAAATCGCGCCGAGGGCCGTTGGACCTTCTTCCCTTTGATTCTTTTGAATGTCGAGTAGAGAAGCTTGAGGGCATGCCCTTACCAGCCTTATTCCTCACAGTGTAAGATAAGATAACAATGACATGCAGCGTACACAAGGAAAACAAAGTTTACACTTTCAAGAGAGTTTGGAAAACTTGGAATGCAAAACTTTCTAGCTGATAGGGGGAGCGAGAGTCTCAGCAGCTGCATCATCGTCAGCAATATGGTGGCGTCCTAGGAGCGTTTTTTTTTTTAAAGTGGTGTAGGTGGTACTTTTGTGTTTTTCCCTTTCTGCTGGTTTCCTGGATTTCCGAAAAAAAAAAGTGTTGCGCCGACAAGGTTCTTTCTGTGAATAGTCAGCACAATTTGAATACCTCTGAACAAACTTTCACGTTCGTGTCGGGGTTTAACTGAAGTTGAGGGCAACTGCGCCCGGTTGCAACAAGGCTCAGACAAAGAAGCGCTAAATATCTAGACACCAGCACGACATCAACCTTTTCTCTGCGCGATTCTTAGTTTTAGCAGGAGCGATTTGTCCCGCGTTTTCTGAAATACCATATATATATATATATTTAAGTCAGAGGTCCGTACTTGCGGAGTTGCTATGCTAGGAGTTTATTGCATGTATTACGACAGTTTCGCCGAGAGGCTCGGCTTCGTCATCTCCCGTCGAAGTCGAGCGTCTCGGCGAAACTGTCGTAATACATGCAATAAACTCCTAGCATAGCAACGCCGCAAGTACGGACCTCTGATTTATTACACTTTCCCGGTCTATTGTTGTCAAGCTACTCTGCCTCACCTATATATATATATATATATATATATATATATATATATATATAGTGTTCTCAGGTTTTTGTGTTTTTTTTTTGCGAAAATCAAGCGAATTGATCTAAAACTTATTTAGTCCATAAATGTTTTTGTAGCGTGAGATACACTGGCCAAGGTTGAGCAGTTTCGCGTGGATCGCATAATGAGCCATGCTCCGTGCTGCACATGCGTGAGGAGCAGTGACGTCACACGGCGCAAAGCTGGCGGGCCGGAGCCTCCGCGGCCGCGCGCTCCGCCGCCGCCGCGCCCGCCTCGCCGGTCTGCGCATTCCAGAGGAGTGACGTCATTGCCGCGGCAGACGCACTGTTGCCGCCGGGTGCTCAGCTGTGCCTTTCCGTTGCGCAGTAGCCAAGTCTGACGCTGCACCGGAGCCGCTCGATAGCGCCTCTCATTTTCTGCGCATAAGCTCACGCTACGTTTATCCTGGCATATCCGAGCTAAGCCACTGCAATTTTTTTCATGAGCGAACATACCTCTAAGAAAATATTGTTGTAGTTTCTATAGTAGTTACTGGGAAGAAGCGTTTAAGCTACTGCTTACAAAAATAGAAGTGTAATTGAAATTAGCTATAATATTGGGAACTGCAGTCATTTCAGTCGAGTTGTTGATGTACGCACATCTCCGGCGCATTAAGGCCTTCAAAGAAGTCATAAAATAGATGACGCCTTCCATCGCTGCAGGTGAAGGTTGTGGATGCCGAAGGCAGGATTGTCCCCTTGAACACGAGGGGAGAGCTGTGCACCCGAGGTCCCCATGTCTTCAAGGGCTATCTCAACGATGAGGACAAGACAAATGAAGCCATCCGAGACAACTGGTACCACACGGGGTAAGAAGGGCAGCAGCATCAGTCGAATCTGCGACAGCTATGAGAAAAACTTCCACAACACTAAAGAGAAAATACAGATAGTTCCCACGGCACGGCTCCCAGAAACTGCCTGCTAAAGAAGAGGGTGCGAAACGACAAAGGCAGGCAACTCAACTGAACGGAAAACGTGTATTCATTCCCGAAAGAGATTTACCGATACGCTGAAGACTGTATGAAATTGAGCAATGTTGTAGTTCATCAACATATTCGTCTCCATTGATAAGTCCTTGAATTAAAAAAAAGAAATAAAATCAATGCGTCGTAAAAACCTTCTTGCAAACAAACTGGTATTACATGACAAGTTAAGCTGCAAGTAATACTTTTATACTTAGCTTCAAATATTCACTCGTAAGAGTACGAACATGTACTCTGCTCGTTGGTCAGACACAGAAGGCTAGCAATAACTAATGAACCTCTTTCGGCATCAATTTCTACTTTCGCTTCAAATTTTACAACGAGATCTATTAAGAACTAGAAGACCAAAATAAACTTTAGTTTTTAACAAAACCCGAAGGTCCTGAGTTTGTTACCGCAATATTGTCACGTATCACATCTGGTACACCATGCAGTTTGGGGTATATCTTACGAGCATGAAGAAAAAGTTTTTTGTTATTTTTTAAAATTGGGCTTAACAAAACTAGGAGTCAAAATGTGAGGACATGCAAACTTTCCTTTAAAAAAGACATTTTCTTTGTGACAACATGGATTAGTATTGCACTGAAACATTATGAATATCACTCATCGGTGTGTCTCTGTAGTGTTGAGATTCTCAATGCTGCGCTTCTAATGAAAATACTTGAAGCAGTGGCGCTTTCTGTTGAAACACTGCACAATGTGGCCTTTGCGGCACGACATATTCGCGAGGCGAGCGATGGAGGGCAGCTTGCAGCGCTGTCGTTTTATGTGGTACACCTTGCATTGGCGGATATCAATTGTCAGCAGTGGTGCCATCGGGGACCTCCTCTTGGATGTCTAAATGAGCGCGTTTTGCTCACAGCTGGGTCACTCAGTGCGCTTACTTTGATGCGGCTTTCCTGCTTTGCACAATGCTTCTTCAACACACGACTTGAATTCAAGCAGTGATGTCTTTCTGTTTCTCTGTCTCCGCCAGAGAAGCCAGGCATTCACCACTGTCGGGTCTGTCATATGCAAAACAAAGAACGGAGATACCACTATTTTTATTGAATTCTGATTGGATAGTATCCCAGCATCGAGTTCAAAAGGTCTACTCCGCCCATGTGCATGTTATAAACGAGAACAAGGCTTGAAAAGGTCACGATCTTGTGCGTCTTCTCTATCGCGAAGTAACGCTTGACTTCTCCAGCTGGTTTATGGACGGCAAAAGTGGACAGCAAAGTGACGGTTTAGTTGTCATGCCATGCCACTGACAAAAGTTTCGTTCCAGCCACCTCGCACCCTCTTTCTTCATAAGCTCCTCCCGCTTTCATTTCACTTCCTTTCGGGAGTGAGCAGCCAGACAATCGATTTTCCCGCAAAGTTCCGACACAATCGACTACCTCTTTCTGAAAAACTACTTGGAGAGAAACATGCGTAAACCAGTTTTTAAAGTACAGCGAGCGGTAAATCTTCCTCTGGATGTTGTGGGCTACCCTCATGACCACGTTGCTGCTTGCACCCAAGTCAGGTTCACCTGGGAGCTGCTTATTGTTCAGAACACCGCTGAACACTTCAAAGTTATTCCGCTGGTGGATACTCCACTCAGCACGAACATCTTGTAGCCCCAGCGGTGTGGCGTCTTTGGGTTGCTGAGCTCCAACGAGCTACGTTCCTTGAAGGGCATGGCCTGTTCATCAGCGCAAAGCTTTTTTTTCGTGGCACTCGGCTTAAGTGCTGACGTAAAATGTGAAGCAGTGGTCATACTTTGTGTAATTTGTCACGTCAGCTTCACCTGGAGGTAAAAACTTGTCGTTAATGTGCAAATAGAAAAACCGCTTCAGTTCCTCCGAGCGGTTCAGGCTCATCACATTTAAACCTTTTCGTGACCAGTCCTGGAGAACCAGTAGCGGTGGTTGCTTGGGAGCAGAATAATCGACAGATAAAGCACCATGCCGACGAACCTATCTAATTCATCTACCGTCGTTGAGAGAGGTCTTTCAGGACGGTATTGTGTCCGGTAGATTATGGTCTCCTCACACATCGTTGCGAAAACCTCATCAGGAAAAAAGCAGTTAAAGAGGTGAGATGGAGTACCAGATTCATGATACTGGACGTTAGGTTTATATCCGGATTAACTACATTTTTTTTTTTTATTTCTTAACAGGCAGCATTTCTTCTCCTTCCGGTTGCTCTTCGGGGAGCGTTTTTCGCCTTTGACTCGTACTACTGCTGAAACAGCTTATCCTCGCTTTTTTTCTCACTTTCTGAATACTAATTGGTTGTTATATCAGAATGAGTGTGACGTGGTAGTATCTCTTTTTTGCCACTATCGGAGAGATGTGGTCGCTGCCGCTGCTCCTGTCGCCATCTCCCCGAATTCGGCTGGCTCCGCTCTTGACCTCTTCGTAAAATATGTTGTCGTCCATTACTTGGCATTGATAATCCCTTTCTCGTTAATATTCTTTTCTATCTTGAATTATCGGTTCATTAGTTACTCTAGAAACGCGCGCTCAGAAGGTTCGTTGCATTCCAATTACTGGATAATCCTATGTTCTACAGTCTAGTGTCAACTGTGCATGCACACCACTCTTCGTTACCTTGGATTGTTTCTTTTGGTAATATTTTCTGAGATAGAGTTACATCAATGTTAAAGGGTTAACGATATGCTTGCGGTAAAACATTCGCTGAGGCAGCTGAAAATGGGAAGCCCACATCGTAGCGCCTCTATTTTTATGCGTTTTTTTTTTTTACCCAGAGTGCCATGATTGGAATTGCCCTTCCGCACGTATTTTATCATTTACATGACGATTTAGGCAACTTGATTCACTCATTTCTTAACCAAAGGCGGAAAGCAGAAAGATGCAGAAAAGAGGGGAGTGTGTCCCTCTCCTCCTCCCCTTCTGTTCCCCTTTTCTCTCCTCCCCCTCTTCCCTCCTCCGTCTCGCCTCCTCCTCCTCCTCCTCCCACCCCCCTCTCCTCTTGCCGCTAAATTTGTTCATAGGTGACGTGACACGAAGTCGTGACGTTATTTTCCCCGCAAAGTTTAGCGGGGAAACTGAATTGGTTTTGAGGTCACGTGACGTCAATTTCCACGCTAAATTTAGCGAACAAACTTAACCCGCTAAATTTAGAAGAAAACTTTCCCCGCTAAATTTATCGGAAAATTTCTCGCTAACTTTAGCGGGGAAACGTCCCATAATGCAACGCGCGCGGTTACACCGACGGCGACGGCGACGGCGGCGACGCTCAAGCCGTAAACGGGCGCCTAAAAGCTGCGTTCTAAAAGAGACTGTTTCGGAGCAAGATTTACACCGCGAAACGTATTTGCCTCATTTCCGAGTGTGTTTAAGAGTTTCTGCACCGAAGCCGACGTCTAGAAATAGAAGTGCGTTCGAAAACGCTCGTAACTCAAAATGTGTTGGGAGGTGTAAAAATTGCTGTAAAATATTGCTTTTACGAGATATAGTTTAGTAACCTAAGTGGCTCAACCCTTTCCTTAAAAGTGAATGTTAGGATCTCACTGTTTGTTTCAAAATCGCGTTTTTATTTAAGTATGTTATACTGGTGAAGTTGGTTGAATAAACGAAGCGTTATCTGCCACGCCTTCGAGACTCGAGGAAAGTTACAAAGGAAATGAGTAAAATTGCTGCGTTCAGATATTTCGTTTTCCCTATTGAACACCCGTTCGCAGGGACGAGGGAACAATGGACGAGGATGGTAGGCTTACATTTGTGGGCCGCATCAAAGAGATGATCAACTTCATGGGTCTAAAAGTGCCGCCACTGGAGATCGAGAACATCCTGAACTCGCACCCCGCCGTGGAAGAGGCGCAGGTATGTTTCCAAAAGTAGGGTACGTGGTGCAAGACGTCCAAGAGCAGACCCATTACTTGTAGTGTACTTTGTATCGACTGTGCCGCCTAGGCGCATTTTCTTGAATTCAAAGTCAGCAAATCGTGGTTACGGGTTTCATTAACATCCGTTTTCTCGCTAAATTTATAGGGAAAATTAGCGTCAGGTTACAGGAGGTTTCATTCAACCAGTGACAAGAAACCATGCTTCGCCGCTTTTTCCATCTCGAAGTAACGCATTAAATGCATACACAATAGGCTGTACTAAGTTCGTGCAAGAGCCGCGCTTACATACTGGACTTTATGGCAATGATGTTCAGAATCTTGAAAAGGTTGTCAGCGATAGTTCAGATATTAGCTATTTTTATCAAGTACCTTCGGTACATAAGTTGAATTTGTTTTTAAATATTATGTACACCCGTGCATTAAAGACTTGTCTTACCTTGTCTTTTTCGCAGTGGATGCTTCAAAATGAGTCAAGTTGAAGTGTTGTTTACAGAACGCTATATTTTCACAATCTTTTTTCCTCTTATGTGATCTTTTTTTTTCGCATAACTTGCCATTCAAGATCTCTCTCCTTACATGAGCTTAAGTAGTTGGCCGTTCGTTCCCAATCCTCTAGGTATTCTAAAAAAAAAGTCCGTACCATGAAACAGTTAGTTTTATGAAGAGGCTTTGCCTAAGTAATTGTTTAACAGAGTTCTTTCTTCCTTACCATCTAAACTGGATATAATTTTGAAATATATCTACAGTGAATAACATATTCGTGCAAGTGATATTTCTTGATTCAGATAGTTTTTTATTGGCACCATATTTTGTCACACCATGAACCACTAGCTACGTAAGCCACAATATAACACTGCATTTTCAAACAATAGGTGAACAAGCCTCTAACATATTGATCAAATGTGGAACGTATCTATTGAAAGCAAAGATTTTTAAAGAGTTGTACACCCTACGTCTCAACAAAGGGTCACACAAGAATTATTTGAACGATCTGCAACTGTGAAAGCAAATCGCCGTTGTGATGAGCTGTCTTGGTGTATTTTGTGATCTTCTTTAAGTGCGTTTTTACCGTGAGATTAAAATTCAAAACTTTATAGCTCCAAGAGCAGCTCGTTTTAGAGTGTTTCGAGACTCAATCTTTGACTTAAATTACAGTTTGTGCTAGTTTGGCGTTTACATAAGGGAAATAAAATTATTTCTAATTTTTTTTAACCTTTCGGCAGGTGTTTGGAGTACCGGACGAAGAGGTGGTTGAAAAGATATGTGTTTGGATCAAAGCAAAGCCAGATAGAACCTTAACCTCAGAAGACATCAAATCCTTTTGCAAGGACAAGAAGGTATATGCATAGTTCAGACATACTAAAAAGAACTGTAAACGTACGCTCATGTACTCTTTACACAAACAGTCGAGCGCTGCCTCCTAATGCAGAACACGTAATTCAACTTACATTTGCAAGTTTTCATCCCGGAGAGCGTAGTGCCACTCCTCCAACGTTCAAGGACATGCCCTACAATGGTACTTGGGACATTTATGTCACATTCAAATGGGGCGCACGCAGCACCGAGAAAATGCTGCCCCCAAGGCCGCGCCACCGCGCGGGTGCAGCGTATGATGCACTACCAAGTGAACACGAAGCATTCCGCCGTGCAACGCGCTTGGCGCGGTCACTTCAAGGGCACAACATAAACGGGTGGACCATTGAACAAAATCCGCCACGAGTGGGGCGGCGGCGCGCGCCACCTATCGAGAGTCTCCCGAGCCGCCATGTTTACCTAGACGAGGAAGACGAAGCGAGGGAAAGAAGGGGCCGAAGGAGGCGGAGAGCGGTAGCTCAAGGCCGCACCGGCCCGCAGTGCGCGAAGCTGCACGGTCTCCTTTCGACGGTGCAGCTGGTGCAGCAACGCGCCGGTGTCGTGCGCCGCACCAAATCCCAAATGAACGTAGTGCAGCCGCACCGACACGGCCATCTGAACGCGACGCGTCGGCCGGTGCAGTGCGGTGCGGTGTGGTGCGCCCCAATTGAATGTGACATTAGTTAAGCCACGACCTGCATATGGCGAGTAATATCAGACCTCAGGTTGCTGAAGGTTAAAGAACGCGCAAGCTTCGTGCTACTAGAAGCTGGGAGATCGTTAAAATTGTATAAGCACTGGAGGAAAGAAAAAATATATATTCCATTCCTGTGTCACCAAGGAATACCAAGGTAGTGGGGGGAAAAGCTATATTGAGTTTTTTTTTTTTTTAGAGCGTAGCTCTTAGGCGCCCCTTTCCGGCTTGAGCGCCGTCGGCGACGGCGACGCGTAACGGTGAGTTCACGGGACCCCCGTGAGGTCACTTGACCTCCGTCATATCACGTGACCCCGTGAGCTAAGGTGACCACGGTGACGTCACGTGACCCCCGTGAGGTCACGTGACCCCGTGAGGTAACGTGACTCCCGTGATGTCACGTGACCCCCGTGAGGTTACGAGTGACACGTGACCTCACGGTTACGTCGATAGCGACGGCGACGCCGACGCCGCTCGGAGGCAGGAGTAGCAGGCAGGATGAGGAGGTGAGGAGAAGGGAAGAGGGGTATATGGCTTCTTTCAGTACCCTTCCCTCCTCCTTCTCAAGAGCTGCGCTCTAATTCGGTGTTACGGGGGGTTGTAAGTGACATTCATTTTTGTTTAGCTGCCATGCACTCCGAAGAAACCTTATAATTACAGCTGCCGTGGTACAAGGTACCGGAATATGTGCTGTTCGTGGACTCTTTCCCGAGGACTCAGACCGGCAAAGTTCAGAAGCATAAGATGCGCGAAGAGAGCAAACGGCTCCTGAACTTGTGAAGAACAACCATCGCTGGACAAAGACATATACAATATATGCTTTGTAAAAGCCTAATTCGACTCGCATTATTCGCCCAGGTTACCCGAAAGGTCCAGGGCCTGTTAATAAAATGCAATAAAAACATCCTGCACTTCTTTGGTAGTTATTTAGATACGGTCCGCCCAGTACCTAATATATAAACCTAGGACCCGTTCACGGATGGGTGACATCTGTGGAACGCCACTTTGAGATACGAAGTAGAAACTGGAATTTTCACATAGAATGTGTTAATGGGCTGAATTTGATGCGAAAAACACCACGTTCCATTGTGGCTGGAGAGCTTTACACGCAAGCAGAGGTAACATAAAAAATTCATTAGCCCAGAGCAGGCGAATCACGAGCAGACAAAACATATAGAAGTTATTCATACATAACCAGGCACAATTAGTCGCAACCAGCGATATTCCAAGGGGGCTCAGTGGAAATCCAACCCCGTATAATGCGACACGCAAGCCGACGCCTTTGATCAGTGCCACAATGAGCTGGTGAAAGAAGGCAAAAGCAGCAGTATTAAGTACGACTTCCTCTAAAGGTCTCCAGGAGCTACACGTGACAGTCGGCGGCGAGGGATAACCCAAGCGTACTTAGTACGCAGGAGGTTGTTGACGGTGAGCCAGGCACGTAGCCAGGATTTTGTTTCGGGGAGGGGGTAGGCGCCCATGACAAAATGCTGTATGAGGGGGAGGGGGAGAGGAGGCCCCAGCAAAACGGAAGATTTCGGGGGGGGGGGGGGGGGGGGAGGCCCGGGCACCATGGGCTCCCCCTGGTTACGTGCCTGCGGTGAATCATACTTGGATCGGCATACTTAGTCTGCAGTCGGCATTCGGTCGTAAGTGAAACCTAGCCCGGCATGTTTAGTCCGCAGGCATGCTTTCAATGGCGAAGTAAACTTAGTTCTGCGTACATCGCCTGCAGACGGCCGTCGGCAGCAAGTCGAATTCAGTCGGGTGCACCTTCCTCGAAAAAGTAATCTATTAAAATTACAATTTCTTTTGATCACAATGTAGTCAGTTAGATCATTTGACTACTTAGGAAAAAGGCAATTGGCTGTTATTTGAAATAGTGGCCTTACTTTTTTTAATTACTTAAGATTCTTTAAACAACATATTTTTTCTCGGTTTGAAAACGGGTCTTTCGTGCTGTTTCGAAATTGATTAAATTTATTAAAAGCACAGAATTACAAACTACTAATATTCTCAAATCCACCACTTTTAGTCTAGCATTCTCCTGTAGGAGACGTTTTACATGATTTCTTAATAAGGAACTGGCAGAAAGAATGGACGTCAGTAGCAAGGAGAGTAGAAAATGGTAACGGTCAGACTTAATTTTAGTACATTCAAAAGCAATCAAATTTTACTTTTGATGACTTAGTGATAAATATATTTCGTTGATTGTCAAAAATGATCCAAAACGTAATGAATTATAAGTAATTTGGGCACTTAATTATTTTGAGTACCATACAAGTATGGTCGTATTTAGTTCAACGTAATCATTCTGTAAGCGACAGTCGGCTCACGCACCTAACTTACGAATCACGAAGCGTACCTCTCCTACCTAGACTGACAATATTGCGGTCTGCATCATAACTAGTGCTTGTATTTTTTGGTAAATACCGATAGACACCCCCCAAAAAAAAAGCCCAAATTGGTTTAATCTATATCAGATAAAAAAAAATAAAAGTTCATTCCACCTGTCTTTGCGCTTGAAAAACCAAAGCTTCATTATAATGATGTTTTAGTCATAACTCTATATAGTGTCACGAATGACAAGGTGACAAAACAACGAAATAACTGAGAAAACTGAAACATTTAATGGGACGAACTTGTGCCCAGGAATAAAAGGGAAAAGAAAATAACAACAGAGCGTCGCGGGCGTCGAAAGCGGCGAAACAGCAGGATCGAACGCTGAGGCGAAAACTGACTCGACAAGGTCGCGGGCGGCCTCTTATCAAGAGTGAGTCACTATCTCGAAGATTCGGCGGAGAAGGTTCGAGCGTAGCGCGCTCGGGGCGAGAATTAACAGGCACTTTCTAGAACAAGAAAGCAGGAATAAAGGATGGAAGTTACGTCCGGAACAAGAATAAATGAGAACGTTCTAGAGCTCCGTGACCGAGCGTTCATTTCCCGGCACAGCGCGCGGCATTATCCCCCCCCCCCCCCTTTAAAAGTGCACCGACCCGATGCAGCACAAAACGGAAAATAGAAAAAAAAAAAAACACACACACACACACAAAAGGACAGCAGAATTGCGAGCCGCAGTTCACAGTTCACTCGCCGACGAGAGGGGAAAGCTCTATCGTTCGTAATAGACCCCTTTCGAAATGCTGCCCTCTGTTGGCAGCTGCGAAATCCCTGCGCAATGGCGGACTAAAACCGCAACATCACGGCACACTATGCGTTTTGTTTGGATGTGAAGGCAAAACCACATCCAAAGAAAAATGTGATGAGCGCAGTGACGTTGCACTTCCGACGCTGTTTGATTGGCTCGCCAACTCCTACCGTTGGCCGCTCTCCGACGTTCCCTATCTTATGGAATGACTTGCACGTTCCCCGATGTCAGCTGTTCCGCCATTGTGCAGAGGTTCCGAGCTTCTAATAATCGGCACGCGAATTTCGAAACGGGTCTATACGGCTTCAGCCGGACGACGTGCACCACCTCGGGTCGCGGCTGACGTCTTGCAGATGGGCGCGTTCCGTCGGGTAGAACTTCGTAGTTCAGATCGCCGAGGCGTCGGATGATCTTGTAGGGTCCGAAATAGCGTTTCAGAAACTTCTCGCTGAGACCGCGGCGCCGTATTGGTGTCCAAACCCATACCCAGTCTCCGGGTTGAAAGTGGACGTCTCGGTGGCGAAGGTTATACCGGCGTGCGTCGACTCGCTGCTAATCTTGAATCTGGATTCTTGCCAGCTGACGAGCTTCCTCCGCGCGCTGGGAGATCAGTTGAGCTTCGTCGTTGCCATCGTCGGCTGGCACGTGAGGCAGCATGGCGTCGAGCATTGTGGTAACCGTCCGGCCGTGCACCAGTTGGAACGGTGTCATTCCCGTGGTTTCTTGAGCCGCTGTGTTGTACGCAAACGTGACGTACGGCAACACCTCGTCCCATGTGTTGTGCTCTACGTCGACGTACATGTAGATCATGTCGGCGATGGTCTTGTTAAGCCGCTCCGTTAGCCCGTTAATCTGCGGGTGATAAGCGGTTGTTCGTCGATGGCTGGTATGACTGAGTCGAAGAACTTCTTGGGTCAGCTGTGCCATGAAGGATGACCCGCGATCTGTGATCAGCACTTCAGGGGCGCCGTGTCGAAGGAGAATGGACTCGACGAAAAACTTGGCGACTTCGACCGCTGTTGCCGATGGCAGGGCTTTCGTCTCGGCGTATCGTGTAAGATAATCGGTCGCGACGATAATCCACCGATTTCCTTGCGACGATGTTTGGAACGGCCCAAGTAAATCCATTCCGATCTGCTGGAAGGGCGTAGTCGGGGCAGGTATCGGCTGTAGGAGTCCTGTTGGCTTCGTCAGAGGCCTCTTACGTCGTTGGCACTCATGGCACGACCGTGTGCACAGGTGGACTGTTTTCGGGAGTCTCGGCCAGTAGTACTTGTCACGAATTCGGGCGAGCGTCCTGCTGTATCCAAGGTGTCCAGCCGTCGGGTCGTCATGGCATGCTTGAAAGATTTCCTCTCGCAGGCTGGCCGGAACAACCAGCAGCCAGGCAGGGTTGCTCGTTCCGAAGTTTTTTCTTGAAGAGCAGGCCTCGCCGCAGAACGAAGCTTGGCAGGTCTCGGGCCAAGACTCGCGGAACTGAACTTCCTTGACCTTCGAGGTGGTCTATCACGGCGCGAAGTTCGGGGTCGTCTCGTTGAAGTGCTCCCATGTCGGTATCCGTAAGTGCTCCGAGAAAACGGGCGTCATCGTCGTCGTCGGTGCTGTCGGGTGGCGATTCGATTGGGGCCCTAGACAAACAATCGGCGTCATTATGCTTGCGGCCAGACTTATGCACGATTGTTAAGTCAAATTCTTGCAACGTCAAATTCTTGCAGTCGAAGGCTCCAGCGAGCGAGGCGTCCTGACGGGTTCTTAAGGTTGGCGAGCCAACAGAGAACATGGTGGTCCGTGACAACGCGGAACGGTATCCCGTACAGGTACGGACGGAACTTGGTTAACGCCCAGACGACAGCGAGACATTCCTTGTCGGTTGTTGTGTAATTTTTCTCTGCCTTGGACAGTGCCCGGCTTGCGTAAGCGATCACCCTCTCTGCTCCGTCTTGTCTTTGGACGAGTACCGCGCCGAGTCCGGCGTTGCTGGCGTCCGTGTGAACTTCCGTTTCCGCTGGTAGATCGAAGTGGCCGAGGATAGGGGGCGACTGGAGTCTTTCCTTCAGTTCGTTGACCGCTTGTTCTTGTTCCTCCCCCCAATGGAAGTTCACGTCGTCCTTGGTCAGATGCGTGAGCGGTGCAGAAATCTTAGCGAAATCGCGAACGAAACGTCTAAGTAAGCACACAGTCCAAGAAATCTTCTTACGGCTTTCTTGTCTGATGGCTTCGGAAACTCGGCAACAGGAGATGTTTTGGCAGGATCAGGGCTTACACCCTGAGCACTTACGACATGGCCCAGGAATTTGAGCTCGCAGTAAGCGAACCGACATTTTGACGGCTTTAGTGTCAGTCCAGCATCCTGGATAGCCTGTAGCACGGCTCGCAAACGTCTCAGGTGCTCGTCGAAGTCGCTTGCAAATACCACGACGTCGTCGAGATAGACGAGGCAGCTTTGCCATTTCAAGCAGGAAAGAACGGTGTCCATTACGCGCTGGAACGTCGCCGGTGCTGTGCACAGTCCGAACGACATCACTTTAAATTCGTACAGTCCATCCGGCGTGACGAAGGCAGTCTTCTCACGATCCCCGTTCGTCGACCTCGATCTGCCAGTACCCACTCTTCAGGTCCATCGACGAAAAGAATCGGGCGTGGCGCAGCCGGTCCAGAGTGTCGTCGATGCGTGGCAGCGGGTAGACGTCCTTTTTTATTAC